CATGTTATAAAACATTTAATTAAACAAATAATACACATCATTTTTTTCGGGTATTAGTAAAATTACCACACTCGTTACCTTCAAAACAGTCCGAACACCCTCGGCTACCGCCTCGGGCGTGTTAGACTGTTCCAAAGGTACCTTGTGTGGGTAATTCTTACTAATGCCCTCACTGATGTGTATTATTTGTATAATATCATCAATGTATTGAATATTTACGTCCAATATTAAATAAATAGCAGGGTGTGGATTTAAAATATCTATGGCAATCAAAATGTTCTGGGTAAATCATCAACGTATTGAATATTCATGTCCAATATTTAACATGAATTCCCTCGGTCATGTATTCTACTATTTTAGTCTAAAAGCTAGAACTGAATCTCATTCATGTCTACCAAGTGGACAGCCTGGTTGAAGTTCCTTTGTTATACTCAACTTTATACCGTGCTTAATTTATCCAAGAGAACTGGGTTCAATTTGTAATAGAATATGGGTATGGGCCATTATAAAATGCATGTATAAACTACAAAAATATATCTTGCATGAAGTTCAATCTTTGTACTAGAGTAGCTTTCTTCCCAGTTCTGATGAGACATAAATGTATTCTAAAGTGATATAAAAGACAATTACAAGTTTAATATTTTAACATGCAATTGATTTACATGAGGGGAAGCAGGACATGTATATATCATGCAGATATCAACTGCTTTGTTGGGTAGTGATTAAAACTGTTGTCAGATGGTGATCTCGAAAAATAGCTCTGCCCTCGAGAAGAAGTTGAGGCGAATAGTACCCAAGATCACCCAAGGGCAACAGTTAAAACAGTGACTGACCCGAAAATAAGCAGTCAATATTTGTTATCTACAGCACAAACATGTGGATCCTTTAAAATAGGGAAATATGTACCTGTACAGAGGAATTCTATACATTTGATTTTCCAAAGGTTTACAGGACGTTAAGTGATCAAAGTGCAGAGCGCAACATCTTACTATGTTTTTGTATCCAATTAGTATTAAAATGATGCACATTCATTGCGACGCTAATGACAAGGCTTTATTGTTAACCTTTGCCCTTCACTTGTTAACTAATGTTCATTTTCAATACCAATGGAGTAAAATATCAACATGTGATATTCAACATCTCAAATTGACTTGATGAAATAATGATTCACAATGGCTGCTAAAGAATTTGTTCTACTAGATTATAGGGCACCAATCAGTGATAAAAAATTTCAGAAGACCTTACTTAGCATTTTTATATTTTTATGTTCAATGTCGAGACTTCACAAGGTAGGCATTCAAAGGATGAAATCAGATTTAAATGATTTAAATGATGATGCAATTGGTGTCTGATTCTATTGTCTGTTGAGACTTGAGAGCCAGAAAGGAGTTAACTCCTACACTGTAAGCACACAATCAATGCCATCCTGACTATGTACAGATAATTTTTTCCTTGCTCAATAGTGTGTGCAATTTCACATTATTCAAGACTCTTATCTTTTTCCAAAGTAGCCAGAATTCAGCATTGTCTTTAAATAAAAATATTTAAAAAGTATGACTATCTTCAAGTACCAAACGTATCATGTTTAGAGCCAAAAGGGCATCAACTAAGATCATTTTACACACAGTTAAGCCCTTATGGATCCAAAGGCTTGATACAGTTGGTCAATACTTGGTTCCAGCATAGAACAGAGATACTTACCAGTGATGAAAAGCAGACACATGATGATTTATCCCAACAAATTTCATTATCAACCCCTAGCCCTGCTTTTTAATTTGTTTGCTGACTTTAAGTTCTATTATTATGATTATTATTATTAAGTCAATTTTACCCATTAATGCTAACAAATCGCTCCCTTTCTAGTTTCATTTTCATTCTGTAGGCCTGTCCTTTACATCCACTAAATATTGGAAGAATGTCAGATAAACTGATAAAAATTTGGAGAAGAAAGAAAACATACAAAGGAGAGAAAGTCACTTGTGTCTTCCAAATACTACTTCATAAATTATGTGACCTCCCAAACGCAAAATCTGCTCAGAAATGGCCTAGGTTAACGAACAAACCCACCCCCTTTAGATTAGTAATTAAAATCAAAGAGTTCCAGATGGCAAAATGAATTTATAAATCTTATCCTTTTAAGAAATAAAGAACAGTTAAGTTTTCATAAGTGTTACTAGAATTGAGTAAACTATTTTACGCCTATGTTCTTTTCCGGTGTCTTTAATCAATGATAATCAATGATTTTAATAATTGTCCCAATTTGAAAAATGAATATAAAAGAATTCTGGCGACAAATTATATTTTCTATTAATTTTCCCTTTTATTTCATTTTGAGTAAAAATCTCAATATCAGGTTAGAATAAAACTCCTTGCGAACTTTCTGTTGTTTTTATTTATATTGCAATTATTGCTTTAACCTCTAGGTTTAAAAGATGAAGGATCTGCTCTCTTGGTTGATATGTGACATCTTCAACAGGGTTGTCCACCAACAAAATTCAAACATGTAAAATTGAAAGTTGGAAGGAGTATGAACTCGTGTGTGCGAAGCCCAATGCCTCTCATTGGCTAGGTCCATGGCTTGCCCAAAATGCTCTCTGGTGGAACCCAGGTCATATTTTTTTGACTGCCATAAGCATGTTTATGAGATTGAATTTTAACCGGTCACTGATTGTCAAGCATGTCATTTAAAGATTCAAACCAGTTGCTGTTATATTCTAAAACCCCTTGCAGACCACCATTTCTCCTTCACATATGAGGGTATAATAGATATGACTAGAGACACACAAACAGTAAATAGGGAGTATGGAGAAAAAACAAGGTAGGATGGAAAGATACAAAAATAAAAAGTAAAATCAAATTGATATCAATTTGGTTAGAGAAATGAAACAGGAAGAGTGGTAGAATCAATAAGAAGAAAGAGAGAAAAGAAAAAGCATAAGAAAAATAGGGATATGGGAAATGTGAAAAATGGTACAAGGAAATAATTATGACATATTGAGTAACAGAAGATTACAATACCTGACTAAGATCGAATTGTAGAACAGCAGAGAGTGACAAAGAAAATATGGAAACGGAGAGAGCTCACGTCAGTTATGATATACATTTACAATCAAAATAATGAATGATACATCTATAATGACTGAGAGGAAGGGAGATAGAGAGAGAGAGAGAGAAAGAGGGAAAAAGAGAGAGAGAAACAGACAGACAAAACTTAAGATTAGACGAGGAAATAAACAGTTCTGAGTCCTTGAAGATGTCCACAGCTTGAATTACAGGATTCTCTTGCCACAAAAATTCAAAATGGTGTCCCAGTGTTACAACGGGCATTTACACTGCAATCACAAATCATCAATTTTTCTCATATTCAAGAGTTTTGCCAGAAGTTGCTAGACATCTAAAATACCAATAAACATGACAAAAATCCGGCCTCTGGATTATGTCTTTTGTTTAAATGCAGGATGAAACCCTGTTACACCCTGTAGGTTTTGCAGTGTAAGTGCTCGCTCTTAAAACACTGGTGAACCATTTTGATTTTGCTCACGCGACTCTCGTCGTCTCCGTGTTATCACATGCAGAGCAGCGATCACTGACGCTTTCCAATTAGTGTAAATGATATTTCATAAATAACATTTTTGTTTCCATATTGTTTTTTTGACAATGAAAATGGGCTTCATGAGACCATTACAAACATGCTTGCCTCAGGATATTTCAACCACAACTAAAAGCAGTTTACTTAGGCTGCATATAGAAATATCAACCCTTGCCCTTGTGGTATCAAAAAAAGAAAAATCTACAAGTTCGGGCAAGTAAATGAAATTATTCTGGTAATTGCTGGGATTAACTCACTTGATGAGTCTGGAAGCACTGAGATTTATAACATAATCCTTATGAGCTATTACCTTGACAATTTCTATTACTTCACACTATAGCATTGAACACGCAATTTATTACATGATCCTTTTCCATAAACATTGTAAAGTGAAAACACTTTTGTGACCCAATATGTATCCAGGTGCATCTATCTTTCTTTCTTTACACTTTATTTTTTTTCCTCTGTCCCGTTTTCCTCACTCTCTCTCCTCTATTTCCCCCTCCTTTTCTCTCTCCCTTCCTCTTTCTCCAACTTTTCCACTCCTTTTGTTCTTCTTCCTCACTGCCACTTTCCAATGAGAAATATTTTTACATTCATTTAAACTTCATCTGCTAATATTTACTCTTAGAAAATCATAATTTACAATAACATCATTCCTCTCACTCTCTCATCACTGAATCTTCAACTTGCATCTCGAGCTAAAGTTAGCATTATAATTAATCTGGAGGTTATTTCAATATATCGCACAAAAGCGATTAACTAAATTAGGGGGATAAAAAATGGTGACTGAAGTCAGTTTGAGTACATGATAAATTTAGAAAAATGCAAGCTCCAGCCTTGCACTGTAAACAAGATCACCTTCCAAGTTCCCCAAACTCTCAGTTTTCTTTTCCTAAATACAACAAATATAAAAAGATATTCATGTGAGCAGGAAAGCCTCTTTATGGCATTTCTCAGGCTAAATGTAGAAGAATCTACATGAACATGAAGAATCTTCATTCACTTCAGAAATAAAGGCAAGTCTAAATCTCAATACTACTTTACTGACCTCTACTTGTTAAAGAGTATAACTCCAATTTTTTTGTTTACATATAACCCTACCCCTACCCCCAACAAGATCCTGTATTGTCATCTGCAGCCTGTCAGTAAATGTTGTTACTGTATTTCTCAGATGCCAACAGGTACATGTAATGTCCCTTTTCCATCATTATCATTATTTTTAATATTTGTTTTGCCTAGAAACTGCTGGAAACATCATGCAAGGTAATTAACTGGAAAAAACCCACATCCAAACAAGGACTTGCATCCTCAGAAATGTATAGTCCACGTTCCAATTATGTGATGACAGGCTGCAGAAGGCAATATCTGATTAAAGCAAAGTGATAAAAGCAATGTCAAGCAAGAGCAGTTCATCTTACAAACAACGTTCCACATATTTATTATACGCTTATTACCACAACATACATCACAAGATCGTCAAAAACAACAGCTAAAAACATGGTATAATACTCAAGTATCCAATTCTTTCCCTAAAAGCTTAAAATATCTGTCATTCATGAACAGCGAGGTTACTATGTAAACGAGAAAACACAAAAACAAAACTTTTTTTTCCAATGTCAACGTAATTCCACAAAACTATGCTTTTAGAACATGATCAATTCTGTACATAAAATTCACAAAATCAAATTACTTAAGAAATAGCCATGTGCACAGTGATCCATTGTACATATTTCTTCCATTGTTTACATAAATATTTTTGATTTTTGATTAATTTTTTTTTTGCCACATATTTTTCTCCTCAATGTACACCTACTGCAAATCAAGTTTCAAAATCACCCTTATAATAGGCAACTAACAAAAAGTGATTACATATGGCAAACGGCTGCACATATTTATATACAAAAGCTTACACGAACTGTCTGGGAGTATCAAGGATGTAAAGGAAATCGAATACTTGTATGTACAAAAAATATATCAAAACTGATTAAAAGCTGAACATACGGACTAGTCAGTTTTCTTAAAACAAATTCTTTATGATTTTTTATGGTTTTTATGGTGCATATTTACATGCTGGTTTATGAGATTAAAATGAGATACGACATCCACAGAAATGAATTTTGTGCAGTAGTGATGGCCCCAGCACTTGCAGTCCTGTATCTTGTCCTTCTCGTTCAAAATCGGAGCAAGGCAAATAGGAAGTGGGGGGGGGGGGGGGGAATGGAAATGAAAAAAATCATTGAGAAATATTTACAAAATAATAATTGAAGGCTGACCCAATCTATCTATCAAATTTGTTGGTCTAGGAATCTTTTGCGATTGACTGGAAAAAATACCAATGTTGTAATAAAATAAAGGCAGATCTTTTGTTCAGCACGTTATACATGTATCTAGTCTTGAATCAAAATGAGTCATTTAAAATATTAAGTTTCCATCATTACTTACAAGGGATGCAGGAAACATCATGTATGGGATTATTTTTTTAATCAATGTCAGACTTAGAAATTTCATGTCCCTTCTCTTGGCAGATGAATCCATCGAAGCTGACTTGTTACAACTCAGGCCTCGAATGTCTAAGCTAATCAATAAGAGTGATCAGGATTCTAAAATAGCTGTTTTTCCTTGACATCTAGAAGCGGCGCATGCGCTTGGCCATGTAGTCATCACGACGTTCCATACGGCCACGGTCACCAGCACGGTCGTCTCTTCGCTCCACTGGCATCCTTCCTCTTCCTTCATCCATAGGGGGGCGGTTTGGTCCTCCCCTGCCACCGAAGTTACCGGGTCCTCCCGGTCCTCCTCCTCCCATGTTGGGTCCTGGTCCACCTTGGTTTGGGCCTCGTCCTCCTCCCTGGGCTGGGCCACGTCCCCCTTGCGCTGGGCCTCGTCCACCCTGGGCCGGGCCGCGGCCGCCCTGTGGTGTGCCACCACGTCCACCCTGTGGGGACCCAACCTGACCACTACCTGGGGCACTGCCAAGAACTCCAGGGGCACCTGGTCCACCTCGGTTGGCACTCTGGCCTCCTGGTTGGTTACCTCCTTGGTTTCCTCCTTGGCCTCCTCCGTTTCCACCACCGCTAGGAAGAGGACCACCTTGGTTGGGTCCACGATTTTGGCCATTATTGAAGCCACCGCCTGGTTGATCAAACCTACTTTGACGCTGTTTATTTAAATGATAGTTACAAGTTTTTTTTGCAGAGGTTCAAGAGTAGGTTCATGTTCATGTCACCATGATTAGGGACAGCATAACAAAATATAACCCAAAAGGGGTAGTAAAAAAAGATGCATTGCAAGTTCCATGATGGTTCAGGTTTCATACGATTGGGTAATTATATGCAGGGGACATCAGATCAATTCAGGGTGGTTCCAATGGAGAGACATCAACAGTTGTCACAAAGAGTGATTGAGGCACACATAGGGTAAGAGAGATAAAGGTAATTTCATCATTAGCAAAATGTCAGATATCTACATCTATAGGAAAGTGGCACTTTGTTTATTTTAGAGTTTACGCAGCACAATTCATGGTTGATTTGCTATTAAGTTGAAGATGCAACAGTCACTGAGTAACAGATATTACTAACAAATATCAGGTCCATAGACGGCACACGAAGGACAACTAATTTTACCGCGTAATAAGACACTAATGTTACATTTTATAATTTAGCCCCCACATACAGAGGTTCCGGCTCTTTTTCCACTTTAGCAATCTTTGCTTTCATATCTTTTGCCTAGAAGACATCCACAGATCACAGGAGATAAAAAGCTTTCCATCAGAGTGAAAACTCAAGATCAACAACTCATCTACAGCAAAAAAAACTCAATGAAGAAGCCATAAGCTACAGTGTACAAGTCGAAATACGATTTCAACAGGATTCAATTGTAAATTATGCGCAACAGCAATGATACCAATGTTCGTATTAATTTCAGCAAAGTAGTCAAATAAATACATAAACTTATAGACAATTAGATGATGTCAAATGTACTTGTTTGCATCGCAGACTTGATGAGTAACTTAATCTATATTCTAGTCAGTAAATGTTTGACTTCTATTTACCATTCCCAATCATATAAAAAGATTTGAAGTGAACTAAGTTACTTAGAGGAAAGCACAGCCAAGAAGATATACTTAATCAAAAGATGACACAACACAAGATGGCTACATGGCAATTCTTAGAAATAAAAGTATTTGTCAAATTTAGAAATATATGTGCTTCATGTAAAAAAAATTAGAGTTAAGTTATGAAAAATCATAACAGATTCAGTAGAGATACGTTATTTTCATCTTTGCTGATTGCCGTGACCAACGCAGAGCTCTATCCAGACAAGATATCAATGTGTCCTCAAGCACAATAATATGGCAGATAAAATATGATTATTCCATGCTGTTTGTCTTTCCATAATAGATGTTTGAGCCAGTGAAAGGAGAGTATAATCCTGAAAATGTTCAACAGTAATTACTGATAGACATGTGATTAGTTTCAAATGATTGTTATATCCCAGGCACAAATTACGCAAGCTTTTGTTTCAATTAAAACCCTTTTTTTATGATCCAATTCCCCTATTTTGCTAAATCTCTGAAATGAGAAACAAATATTCAGACAATTCATGTATTTCTATTCTACTCTATATTTTAACAAAAGAGAATAAATGTGACTTTAAAGCCCTTACTTGCATACAAAATCTACAATGAATTTGATTGAAGTTCATTACTTTTATTTTATTTTAATCGGTTCAAAATCGACCCCCGCTCAATAAAGAGTTCTCACTGATGCATAACAATTTATGTGCTAATACCAAACTTGTGACCTTTAAGGAGAAGAACAAACAAACATATAGGCAACTAATCTCCTACAGTTGAATCAACAAGGGTAATAAATAGGCGAACTTCCTTTCTTCATTCATCCCAAACCACCCCCTCCCTGCCCCCTGATAAATCAAGGCTACATTCCAACCGATGTGGACCCTGCCAAGTTGTATCTCTCTGTACTGTAGATGGTCAATGTTATTACGGTGGAATCTGCCATGATTCGCGTGAAGGAAAAGCAAACGGAAAATAGCAATGCAGACTGACGGTGCAGCAGAGTATCCACCTCATCTATGAAATCACACTTTTCCTATCAGATTTACATGTAGAATACTCAGGACGTGTTGCACAACAACATATTCAATACAACCATGTTTAGATGCATGCTTTCAGTAGTATAACCTAATCAAGTGCCACTTTAAAGTAATTTTCTACACAAATAACACAAAGAACATATAATATGAACTGCGAAACAGTGATTGCTGGTACCCTAAAAAAGAGTAAATATGTATTTCAAAGACCTCTTGAAGGTTAGGAAATATTCAATGAAATATGATGCTCAAGCTAAAGCGCTACACATATGTATAATGTAGACCTTTGCTTCTGTCGAGATAAAGAAAATTCACTTGAATTGAAGAGGAAAGCATCAACTGTCCCCCCATACAAGGGGAAATCCCCTAAATGATTTTACCGACAGAAAGTTAGGTTCTTTCTTTTTATTGATGCTAGGTCTCAGAGTGATATCTCTAGGACCACTTCAATTGAAATAAAAGGTTCATGACGTGCAAGTCAATGTTAAATATCACTTATTGGCCCATTTTCATATAAAAATATGGTACTTTTCAAACATTTTACTTCACATGTAGGAGGTAATTAACTTTACTACACCATCTGCACTCTTACTTTTTCATTTCTTTTTCTACACAGAAAATAGAAAGATGATAAAATGTGATAGTACACATAATCACAAGTATACACAAATCAAAGAATCAAGCTTGACGAAGAAAAAGTAAGAAAAAAAAAAACAATATATGATCTAGAAAGTGCTGGGTAGATACCACTATCAACGAGAAATGAAAGGGAAATACACAGCACGTTCAGTTTTTTTAGTGTATGCAAAGCAGTCACGCATTGTAGCCTACTATGCAGTAATTCACAACTCTGGTAGCTCAAGATTGTATGGAGAATAGATCGTAAAAAATAAAATAAAAATATTTATTTTAAAAAAAAATCCCCATTCCTCTCTCTCCATAAGCAACAACAATGGGGGGAAAAGTGATCAGATGATACAGACTCTAGTAGCTCAAATTGTTTTGAGAATAGAATGAAAAATATAAAAAGTCCCCCATTCCTTTCCATTTCATATCATGCTGCTCTCTCTCTCTTTGAGCAACAATGGGGGAAAAAGTGATCAGATATTACAGACTCTAGTAGCTCAAGATTTTTTCGAGGATAGAATAAAAAATATAAAACATTCCCATTCCTTTCCATTTCATATCAGGCTGCTCTCTGTGAGCAACAACAATGGGAGAAAAAGTGATCAGACATTGTAGACTCTGGTAATTAGGGATTGTTTGGAGAATAGATTAAACAAAATTGAAAAGGACCTATTCCTTTCCTTTCTATTTCATATCAGACTGATCTCTCTCTATGAGCAACAACAATGGGGGAAAAGTGATTAAATGTTACAGACTCTGGTAGCTCAAGATTGCTTTGAGATTAGATTGAAGAAAAAAAAAGGAGAAAAAAATCCTCATTCCTTTCCATTTTATATGAGGCTGCTCTCTATGAACAACAACAAGGGGGAGAAAGTGATGGACGATATTACAGACAGGCACTAGAGAACAGTAGAGCTAAATTGCTCATTGCTCTTGTGCATCTTTTTTTTCCAGCCATGTACACAGGTACATTTGTTCCTATTCACTCTGAAACTTGAAACATTTCATCAACACATCTTTTGAAGAAGAAGAAGAAGAAAAAAAAAGAAGAAAAAAAAAAAAGGGATAAATATGTATAAAGAATAAAAAGGGGGAAGAAAAAAAATCTTCATGATCATCATGTAGTAAAAATAAAAAAGTAAAAAAAAAGATGCTGCTCTTTAATACCATACAGTTCTGGATGAAAAACATGTGCTTGCATCTTTTCCCTACTTCGAGTCAGGATTTTATGGTAGAACAATTCGAAATGTTGAATTTCTATCTCTGCAAAACATTCCTTTATTTAGGAATAGCACATGAAATGGGCTAGGAGAATTGAAGTTCTCTGAACATTCGAAGGTGTATTACATTGACTTCAGCCAATATATACCTATTTTGTTTTGGAAAGGTATAACTGTTCAATATTTTCTGCTTCTCAGTTGAAAAAAAAAAGAAAAAAGAAAGAAAGAAAAAATTGGGACGCCAAAAGAGAACAAAAGACAGAAGATAGATTTGTCAACCCAAAGAATTCGAGAAAAGGAAAGGGGTTAACTGCGACACAGAAGTCCCCTCACTCGTCTAGAAAATTGCCATCTCTCACATTCCAACCACTCTCTGACTCATCTGACACGATAGGAGAAACTACTTACCCCGCCGGCACCTCCTTGAATTTGCTGAGGCAAGATGTCTGTACCACCGCCCTGGGGACCACCACCACCTGAGCCTTGACCACCACCACCCCCCATCAGGGGCTGGGGCCCACCAACTCCTCCTGGCATGGGGCGTCTAGAGCCCTAAGAAGAATTATGTACACATTGCATTGACCAAACACCTGTTCCAACACATTGCATTGACCAAACACCTGTTCCAGTAGTTTCCACAAAAGGGACATTTGTCACAAGCCACATATTTCAGACAAAAGGGAATACACTATTCAAGTAACGGACAAGAAGGCCCTACTTTGTTCAGAACTAGTTATCTCAACATCATATCCTTTATGTTACATGGAAACAGAGGATTTTGTACCAAGGGTGTAAAAGGCTCCTACTTGTTTTGTTCAGAACTAGTTATCTCCACAGCATATCCTTTATGTCACACCAAGGAAGCTCTATTTTCTTTATTTTTCACTGATAAAATATATTTGAAAGATCTGCATATAAAGATATAGCTCTTATATGTTAACCCATAAAGAGGAGTTTCTTCCTTTATCAAAGGTCAAAGGTTAATATGGGGCAAGTTACATATAGGATAGTACAAAAACATGAGACACACTCATGTGCAACAAGATTCACAGATTTTCAGGGAACAAGCCAGAGAAGAATACCATAGAGGCATTTCACCATGATTCTCTGCTTTGCAGACATCTTTTATTTAATTTAATTTGTAGCAATTTTTTTCTTCTTAAATGATAATTGATTATTCTTGACATCTATTTCATCAATTACATGCACAAAATCCCTTTTATTCTTAGGTTGGCAAATCAACTGCTTTTGATCTTGTCAAAAAGGTGCAATGCTGTACAAAGTGTACATGTAGACTTAGATGCTTATACTCCAGCTATAGTCAAGCATGTGACCCCATCCCTCCATTTTCCGTGCATGTCAGTGAGGATTTCCTCGGGAAATTCCCAAATTATGGGTCTCAATTATCAAATATCGTTTTGACTCCTATACTTCATTTCACATGCTTTTTTTTACAGCTAAAAATGTTGAATTCGGTGTGTCGGTTCCATGTGAAATCTCCAAACATAAGTAACTGTGTTCCATGCCTGACTATATTCTGAAATCTGAATGCTAGTACAAATTTGTCGTCAACATAGACCTGGCTAGTGAGTATCGGTCATCACAAATAAAGCTTATCCCACAAACAGGATACAAAAATGCTGCAAAAATAATTCTTCATCATATGTTCATGCAATGAAAGGTATCTATGATGTGACTTGCAGATAAATGCAATCAGATAACTCTTCGTCAACTCGCTCATATTCACAGCATCTTTAAAAAAAATATATATTTTCCAGTCGACACTTGGTTTAAAAGCCAGTAATGAAACCATTACTGTCACATTGCTTGTCAGAACACTAGTGTTCCCCAATCGTAATCATCACCTGCAGGAGGTGTCTTTGACAAAGGAACAAACACTGTATGCAACTTGTACATGTCTTGCATTCAACACTCGGCTACGCATCGACAGTTCTGCGACTGCAACCTCTACCAAAACACTCTTCACCACAGAGATAGAATAGACTAGATAGAATAGAAAGCATGCACTTCTGAATATTCTGAACTGGAGAAAGGAGGTTATTATCTCTAATGAGAGATTCACTCACAATAATTAAGATCAGAATCAACATTTCGCTTCAATTTTCAAATATAATATCCGAAGACATGAATGCTTTGGAATAAAAATTTGAATTTTGGAAAGCCAAACATATTTCCCTAAACTTACCAAGCATAAATTTGGGGTCCTTTCATTTCAGATTGCGGTAGTAATTTGATGGAAGCTAAACGAGCAAAGCCAAGGTATTTGGTCATTCTTTGTCCTATAGGTTATCAAGGATATAAACAACTAAACGATGTTGAACATCGCTAGCGTCACTCTCCTCATTGTGTCAGATCCAAACTCTACAATAGGGAAGCCAACTTGATGGAATTAGCAATTATATCAGGGGTGATAGTGAGGACTAAAAAAATCTCAACCACACCCACTTTGAAAAAAAGAAAAAAGAAGAGGATTTGGCGGAAATAAATGGCATCCAACAACATTTCCCCCCCCCCCCCCTTTTGAGTAAGAAAATTGGGAAAGTAGAGAAAACAAGGGAAAATTGAGGAAAATGGGCATTAAATCGGGGGGGGGGGGGGGGGGGGGGAAACAGAGAAGAAAAATAATCTGGTACAAAAATTTAAAAACCGGGAAATCAATTTAAATCGGGTAATTATCAGGCCTGATATATACTGCAACCTCTGATATGAGTTACATATGGGACAAAACACCTTGGACTCGCACACAGACACTTTCTCCAGTTCAGAGTTCAGACAGTGTTAGGTCTCCTAGGAGACCATACCTACCTCCATCTGCATCATGTTATCCTCCTGCTGTCTCCTCATCATGTCCTGCTGGAGCCTGAGGTCATCCTGCTGGACCTGACGACGTCTCAGGACATCTTCCTGCTGCTGTCTGAACAGGTTCTCCTCCTGGCGCCTTCGCTCGTCTCGCTCGTTGCGCCTGGAAGAAATAGGTAATTAATGGTTACTTGCGATAACTCGAATTCTAGCTTGCATCTAGCCATCTACCCCAACTTATCCAGGGATGCCAGTTAGAATTGATCAGAGGGCCTGAAAATCACCTAGAATAAGCTATTTTGTACAAAAAAAATGGCCTGACGTCTTCAATAAATTGACATTAGTACTTTACAAGTAACTCTGAATAAGTCACTACAGTAAAATTTTGCATAATTCAAAACATTTCAGTGGTCCTAACAAATTCAACTATGTTTGACGGGGATTCCACAAACTTCAAGGGATGTGAAGGCTCCTAGCACTGGACCACTGGTTCCCCAGAGATGCCAACTTTTGGAAATCAGAAATAGGGAGGATTTGTAATCGACACCAATTAATGTGCGCGTAGCGCACATCTCGAGCGCGTAGCGCCCGACACATGCGGCCGGGGTCCAGGGCCCGCCTTAGGGCCCTGGAAGCTCTGGGGTTCTAGATGCTCTCTGGTGCAATCTGAGCCTTATTTTGGAGCATTTTACATGTGTATTTAGTTAAATAATTCCCCCTTTTTTTTTAAATAACATAAAAATTGTACAAAATGCATGATGAATTACTTTCAGACTTCCGATTACACAGGTACTTGATACTGTATTCGGTCTTATACTTCCGAGACCATTTCCTGGTCTTATTTTGCTGATTTTCCGCCATTTGGATTCTGTGGCAATATCCACGCATTGGTTACGGCGATCCATATGCTGAAACAATCTTTCGCTACTCTTAATTTGTCTTTTAACATAGTGGAATTATTACATGCTTAAGTTAGCAGATGATATTTCTCTTTCAATTCACAGATATATATACTGATAAGCGCCCTCCAAAAAAAATCATAATAAAAAAAAAAAAAAAAAAAAAAAAAAATCATTTTTTTTTTTTTTTTTTTTTTAATAAATCGGGAGGATAAGGATGGTGATCGTAAGGTCGGGAGTTGGGGTGAATTATCGGGAGCCTCCCGATAAAATCGGGAGGGTTGGCATCTCTGGTTCCCTCCCTAGTCAGACTAGACAAACATGCAGCCTATGAGTGTAATTTAGGCACTCACCTCATTTCAAACTCTCTTCGTTGCTCCTCCAGGCGTTGAAGTTCTTCCTGGCGACGCATAAGCTCTGAAAATAGAAAGAGGGACAATATAAATGTCGTTAACTAATTATTCAGAAATTGTATGTGCCAAGAAGGAAATTGAAATATGACAACTGCAACCCTTTCCCTTTCCCTTTATTTCTAACAAGTTCAATATACTTGGTATAACTGCTGTATTTCTCACATAAACCAATTTTTTTTTTCCAATGACTGTACCACCATCCCATGCTATTCCAATCATGGGAGGGTCCTTCATATTTTGTTTCTACATACCTTGCCGCATAACAATAGCCTGATGCTCAGTCTTGGCGATTTCCATCTCGTCCATGACCTTCAGTCTTGAGTCGTCAATGTTCTTCTCCAGCTGGTCTCTCTTCATCTTCTCCTCATCTTCCAGGGCTTTCATGCGCTGCCCCCACTCGTACTCGAAGCTTCCTGGCTGGGCAAATCGGGGAGGTTGCTCTCTCTCCCGCTGATACTCTCTGTTCTTCATGATGTAGCGCTCTTGGTTGCCATCCTCTTCGTCCTTCTGTTCCAGAGGTTCCACAGTGACGGGGAATGGAGACCTAAAAAACAACCAAGTAATGCCATGTTAATTCTTTATCATTTTACTATACATTTTTTTCAATACTCTCCCTTTTCTACTGCCCCAATGCCTGAGTGAACCTTTTACAAAATGTCCACACGTTTGCAGTTGATTTCTAACTTCATAAAAATCTCCTAAAAGTATACTTATAAGATTTAATTTCATGGAACAATAGTTGAAGTTTTATTGACAAATTAATACATAACGACTCAACTTCCAACTGAATTTTTTCACTCATATCTCTAGGTTTCTTTTCTCTCAAAGTGACCGATACAAATAATGTTCTCTCTTCCAAGATCACACTTACACTGTCAAAAGGAAAACTCCTTGACCGATTCTGTTCAATGCATTCTGTGCGCCAGGCTTGCGAGAGAACTCCACGATTCCATTCTTGGTTGCACGTCCTCTGTCATCTACGATCACAATAGCCCTCTCTACCTCCCCGAACATTGAGAATGCCTGTTCCAGAAGTTCGTTTGATGTGCTGGGTGGGATGTTCTTCACTCGCAGTGCTGCTCCATGTGTGGCAAAACGAACTCTGATGGTACGGTTCTTCTGTTGGGTGCCATCTAGGGCAGCTTTAGCAGCTTCTGCATTTAATCTTGTATCCTGCATTGGAGATAAAAAAAAGAGGAGTTATGAAAATGAGTTTCAAATAAGACAAGTAGAAAATGGGTCAAGATGTGGGTTAGATCAAGTATTACAGAGTTAGTAATAATTGAAAATGAGTTGATTTTTTTTCTTTCTTTCTTCTGATCCGATCGAATCATAGCTCCAACTAACCCTGTAAGTTGGGGGCTTTGATCGGATCGGAGCGACACCCTCGCACCTGTGATCGGTATCGGCAAAAAAAATTGGCAGAATTTTTTTTTTTAATGCCGAAAATTTTCAAGTTTTTGGCAAAGTTTTAAATCAAATGCTTTAAAAATTTCATAGCTGGGATTATTTTGTCATTTGGAGTTGTTCTAGACTCTAGACCATGTTTGTTGATATTTAGTGCCTTTTCATGACTGAATTAAATAATATTGGTCTAAGAGAAGAGGCAAAACATGCGGGCCGCCATCTTGGACAATAATGCATGCCTACATTATCATCCCACAACATTCCCCCCTAAGACTCTAAGAAAATTTGGGGAAAAAGTTGGAAAAATCTGGAAGATAGGCCAAGGGAGAAATCAGGGGGAAATCCAATAAAAAAAATTCTTGAAACCCGATTTAATTAAATCGGGTAATTAATTAGAGTAAAGTACCCGGTAATCGGTCAGCTCCGGTTTTCGGCCAATTGGTTGGATACATGGTAAAATCACTTTAAAATACATCGCATAATAGCATAACACATATCCCACACATACCATACCATGCCAGTGTCACTGAAGAACCACATTTGCAATGAAAAATATATCCTAAAATATCACATTTTAGCGATGTAATCGGCGGTCCCGCTACCCAAATCTGAAAAATCGAGTTTCTTACGCGTGTATGTAAGAAATATGGGTACCATAAAATGAGCTTTATTTCAAGTATTTTTCAGATATAGAGCCCGATTTTGTGCTGGTCGCAAGCTCAAAAGTATCTCATCGCATGTATTAAATCAATGCAGCCGCACACCGCGACGCACACACGATATGTCCGTCTAATTCAGATTCCAACTTCCGATCACCGCTGTGCCTGTATTCGGTCAGGCGAGCACCCGGGAGCTCCGGCGTGGGATACCTGCTCCGCCCGCGTGTGCTATACATCAGCGCAGAAACGCACGGCGCGCGCGAGCGCTTCCGATTGACTTTGTACATGCGGCCGTAAACTGAAACGCTCGGCCGATAACCGGCTCCAAAACAGTGAAAATTGAAATGAATATTGTCATGGCAATTCGTGATTTTTTTTGGGGATTCTTTTTTTGTTTAAATAATAATAATATTTGCTTCATGATTTGAACAAGAAATGATAATAAATAGGAAGTAAAGAGTCCAATAAATAGGATTTTGTCTTAAGTGGCCGAAAACCGGGTACTTTACTCTAGGCCTGCATTGACTAATCCGTTTTCGGCATCGCCAATCAAAAATACGAAATGTCAGCGAAAATGCAGACGATCCTTTTATTTTATTTTTAGGACGCATCGAGCCGCATTTACGAAGACGATTCTCGATAATGCAGACGTTCCTTATTCTCGGACCAGCGCCCCGTATGGATGATCCTAATTCTTGGACCAGCGCCCCTACTGCTATTCGAAATCCTACTTTAACCCTAAAATTCAATCATACCGGACAACTCGGCCCCATATTTGCATCGGGCCAGCCGAGTTGTCCCCAGGTCAAACCGAGTCCCATGTCAATTCATCATCAAATTCATGATCTTTGTCATCAACAAAACCATCATCAACAAATAACTGTTATCATCATCATCATCATATTTATCATAGGTAAACCTACCAATCGTATGAAACCAAAACCTTTTTGGCTGTTCAGGAATGTTTCAGACACTTCACCATATTTTTCAAACATCTTTTTGAAATCCGATTCCGAGATGTCGTTGGCAAGATTGCCGACAAAAAGACGACACCGCCCTGTAAACTTCTTTTCCGTTCTTGGTCCTCCATCAAATTCTGGAAGTGGATTAAGTGCGTCATTTCCTTTCTGATAGTCTTTACGGTTTCCCCCTTGATATGGAGGTCTGTTGTTGTGGCGTTTCTCAGCGCCAGATTGATGCTGATGCTGTGGACCGCCGCCTCTTTGACCACCTTCTTGCTTGACGGGCTTGGCCGGTGTTGAATTCGAACTACCCTCACCGCCTCCTTTACTGTCATTTCCACGATTATTCATTTGAAAATTGTTCCTTTTTTGTCCCTGGTTTCCTCTTGGTTCGTTTCTGTTCGGCATTTCGAATATATTGTGAATAAATAACAGCTGAGAAGGGTACTAATTGATAAAAGAAATGTCACTTTCCAAGATACACGCAGTGCAATGGAGTTGGAGACAAATAAAAGGGTGCGTCGTTTGGAGCACACCTACAGGACTATAATGAATATTCATATCGTGACGTCACGCAACGTCACGATCAGTCCAGGCAGGCGCCGCTTACACTAGCAAAGGCTATGTATATTGCCCATTGGATAGCGTAGCAATAATGTTATTTTTATTTTATGTGCTGATTGTGCTCGATGAATTACACTTGCTACTAATACAAGTATATTTCTCAATTATATTCGCTTCATGTATACAAATTTCATCTGTAATCCCACTAAAATATATCCTCAGAGAAAGTATTGATTCTGACTCATTTATATAAATCGCCTTGTAGATGTGCTCCATCAGCCTCTACATGTGCTCCCTAAATTACACTCGCTAAATATGTATATTTTCTCAATTATATTGCGTCATGTGTATAAATATCATCTGTACTGGCACTAAAATATCTCCTCAGAGAAAGAATTGATGTTGATATATTATATCTGACTCATTTTCATCATTTTGTGTCAGTATATATAAATCGCCTTGGACATGTGCTCCATCGACCTCTACATGTGCTCCATATATTACACTTGCTAAATATGTATATTTTCTCAATTATATTTGCGTCATGTGAATAGATATCAGCTGGAATCGCATTAAAATATCTCCTCAGAGAAAGCATTGCTGTTGATATATTATTTCTGACTCATTTTCATCATTTTGTGTCAGTTTATATAAATCGCCTTCTAGATGTGCTCCATCGACCTCTACATGTGCTCCCTAGATTACACTTGCTAAATATGTTTATTTTCTCAATTATATTTGCGTCATGTAAATAAATTTCATCTGTAATCGCACTAAAATATCTCCTCAGAGAAAGCATTGATGTTGATATATTATTTCTGACTCATTTTCATCATTTTGTGTCAGCTTATATAAATCGCCTCCTAGATGTGATCCATCGACCTCTACATGTGCTCCCTAAATTACACTTGCTAAATATGTATATTTTCTCAATTATATTTGAGTCATGTGTATTAATATCATCTGTAATCAGGGGCCATAGAATCTACAGTGCCTATGTTGACTCCTGGGTTTGGGTTTGCAGCTTGTGCACTCTCTGGACAGTCTCTTTGCATGTGGCCAGTCTTGCTTTCGTAGAACTCTTATATCACAAATGTTAATATAATTTTTTTTTTGAACTATGAACCGAGGCTCTTGCCTTTTTGTAAATATTATGTTGTATAATTCTTTATCTTTGTATGCAGTGTAAAATACCAAGGCTTTGTATTTAAACACAACATATTTCAGCCTCGATGTAGAATAGCTTGTAGCAGTGGCGTAGACAGGTTTTTACACCTGGGGGTGGGGGGGGGGAGGGGGAGGATGATTTGCCGATCACAAGGATCAATCTTGTATACAGATACACACACCTTGTGAGGTGGGGATGCATATAATTTTGAAAGTTTAGGTTTTTATTCAATGAAACTTGGCCTAACGAGTTATCAAGTATCCCCAATTATGTGAGTAGAATTTCAGGTCACAAAGTCAAGGTCAAAGGTCATTTCAGGTCAACAAATCTAGACTATGTTGTGACGTCAACATCAAAACTCAACCATAGGTTAAGATTTTGAACTTTTAATATAATTTTCAAAGTACAAGTACTTATTCAATGAAACTTAGACTAAAGGGTAATCAAGTATCCCCAATCATGTGAGTATAATTCCAGGTCATTAAGTCAAGGTAAAAGGTCATTTCAGGTCAACAAACCTAGACTATGTTGTGACGTCAACATCAAAACTCAACCATAGGTTAAGATATTGAACTTTTAATATGATTTTGAAGTATACATTCCCATTCCATGAAACTTGAACACAAGGGTTATCAAGTATCACCAATCATGTGATTAGTCTTTTAGGTGACAAAGACAAGGTCAAAGGTCGCTTTAGGTCAGTAGACTTTGATATGTTTTCACAACTTAATATGAGAAAGAATGAATCAATTTTTGTTATTTGTTCATATTTCATGAAAGTTATCAATCTTGGTACAAATAATAGTAAATAATTCTTCTGATGAGTCTTATATTCACTTCAAAGTGCTGATTATATTCGGAGGATTTCATATTTGAGGGCCTGGTTAGTGGGCCACCCTGCATATCAATAATGTCCCAACCTCAATTTTTCATCATATTTTATTGCGTAATGCAGGCGAGACCTCCGAGAGCGTTTCCCTTGTTAACAGAGGCGGCCCTCCCGGGGGGCAGGGGGGGGGGGCACAGTGCCCCCCACTTTTTTAAGCACCGTGAAAAGTGCCCCTTTTTACATAGGAAAAGTGCCACTTTTTACATAGGAATAGTGCCCCTTTTACTTTGACAAGTGCCCCTATTAATTTGTAAAAGTGCCTCTTCCCCTTTTCAACTGTGATAAGTGTCTTTTATTCGGACACGTGCCCCTTTTCATTCGACAAGTCCATTTTTTCCTTTCAGTGCAAAAAGTGTCCATTTTCCATTCTCCTAAGCGCCATTTTCAATCTCTAGTAAGTGCCCCTTTTCAGGCACGAGAATTGCCTCTTTTCACTTTTGATTAGTGCCCCTTTCACCTCTGATAATTGCCCTATTGAAATCTGAGAGGTGCCTCTTTTACTTTGACAAGTGCCCTTTTTCCTTTGTAATAAGTGCCCCTACCCCTTTTAATAAGTACCCAATTTTAACTGGGATAAGCGCACCTTATATTTTAAAATGTGCCCCTTTTCATTTCTGATAAGTGCCCCTTTTCCTAATGATAAGTGACCCATTAAAAAAGAGCCCCTTCCCCTTCTCATAAGTGCCCCTTCTCTGGTAAATGACCTTTTTCAGGTACGAGAAGTTACTCCTTTTCACTTCAGATAAGTGCCCCCTTAACCTCCGATAAATGCACTTTAAAATCTGATTGGTGCCCATTTTATTTTAACTAATGCACATTTTCCTTTATAATAAGTGCCCCTTTTCAAATCAGGTCATTGTCCCTTTTTTCAGGTGTGATAAGTGCCTCTTTTCACCTCTGATAATTTCCCTTTTAACAGTGATACGTGCCCCTTTTCTTTCTAATAAAGGACCTGTCCCCCCTTTTTACCTGATGGGGGCCCCTTTTCCGTCGACAAATGCCCATTTCCTTTTCTTATAAGTGTCCCCTTTTCCTCTCATCATTAAACGCGCCCCAAATTGCAAGCGACTAAGAGCAATTTAACCCAAACTCGCTCGCTACGCTCGCACGCATCTATAGATGATATACTTATGTTACCTATCAAAGGTCTATTCAGTTTTCCGTTATGAGAATGTGCTTATAACCCCATCAGGATTGGTTTTTTCCTCTTTATAAGATGCAATTTTTCGCACTGCGATCTCACAAATATTAAAATGTTTCCTTGCTCGCTTCGCTTTGTTTATAATTCTTTGTGTACAAGAATAAATATTAAATTTACTGTGGTAACACATATTACAATGAGTTGACACTTTGATGGAATGCTTTGTGTATAATTTTTTTGTGTACAAGAATTATTATTAAATTTACTGTGGTAAAATGAGTTAGAATAATTGGAAACAATATTATGGAGAGATACGCCATGTTTTGTGCAAAATATAAAAAGGCAGGGTACATGATAAATAACGTCAGGCAGAAATAATAATAATAATAATAATTGTTTTAAATGGGGGCACGCTACAAGGGTCCTATCTCGCACCCCGGGGCAACGTGTCTGACACGGCCGGTTGTAGCAACTACTCCGAAGATCAAGATTACAGTAATCTTGATCTAAGGAGACACGAACGAACGAATATATCAACATCAATGCTTTCTCTGAGGAGATATTTTAGTGCGATTACAGATGATATTTATTCACATGATGCAAATAACATTTAGAAAATATACATATTTAGCAAGGTAATATATGGAACACATGTAGAGGTCGATGGAGCACATCTCCAAGGCGATTTATATATACTGACACAAAATGATGAAAATGAGTCAGAAATAATATATCAACATTAATGCTTTCTCTGAGGAGATATTTTAGTGCGATTACAGATGATATTTATTCACATGACGCAAATATAATTGAGAAAATATACATATTTAGCAAGTGTAATATATGGAGCACATGTAGAGGTCGATGGAGCACATCTAGAAGTCGATTTATATAAACTGACACAAAATGATAAAAAATGAGTCAGAAATAATATATCAACATCAATGCTTTCTCTGAGGAGATATTTTAGTGCGATTTCAGATGATATTTATTCACATGACGCAAATAACATTTAGAAAATATACATATTTAGCAAGGGAATATATGGAACACATGTAGAGGTCGATGTAGCACATCTAAAAGGCGATTTATATAAACTGACACAAAATGATGAAAATGAGTCAGAAATAATAGTACATCAATACTTTCTTTGAGGAGATATTTTAGTGCGATTACAGATGAAATTTGTACACATAAAGCGAATATAATTGAGAAATATACTTGTATTAGTAGCAAATGTAATTCATCGAGCACATTCAGCACATAAAATAAAAATAACGATATATTGCTACGCTATCCAATGTGCAATATACATAGCCTTTGCATTGCACGTAAGGTGTAAGCGGCGCCTGCCTGGCCTGATCGTGACGTTGCGTGACGTCACGATATGAATATTCATTATAGTCCTGTAGGTGTGCTCCAAACGACGCACCCCAAATAAAATGGCGAGACGCGGTGTTCGGGTTTTTCCGTAAACTATCGGATGTTCGCGTGTACTTCCGGAAAATAATATATTTTTAAGTTTGTTTAAAAATGATCAATAATTTGATAGATTCAGACATCTAAATTATTAAAAATATACCTCTTATACATGATCTTTTCGTTTTCAAACTATATAATTAGTACTTATTAACAAATATTTTATTATTTATTTTCCGAAATACTGCGGCATGGTTCGGATTTTACGGAAACTTCGCACGTGCGTACTTTTTATTGTCTCTTTATCTCATATAGCGAGCTAGTGACGCGATGCAGCACGTAACTGGACATGGTGCTCGCACTCGCGATCGCGCATCCCATTCGATATCGCATCCCTGGTTCTTTTTTCTACGAATATGTCCGACGTGTACATTTTCATGTTTGTTTTTAACAGAGAAAATTGAGATGAAAGAATGAAACCGCAGCCACCCATTTTTAATTTTATAAGGTGAGTAGAATTATAGTTGTAACTTAACCAAGGAGTGAAGGACAACCGTAAGCTTAACTTCATCATTTTTGCCTGTGGAAAGTTTGAAGTTCTTGGAGATGGAATTGATCTTTTTTTTTTTTTTTATGGTCAGTTTTTATTCTTTTCTCTCTTGAAACAAATTATAATCATAGTACAAATTACAATCATCATAACTCTCACTGCAAATGTGATGACATTATAAATCAGTATAAATTTTTGTCTTACAAACGGCTTCAAAAGAAACTTACATAGTTAGTTCCTATACATCATATTTGAAACAAAAATTCATATTTTCAAAGAAAACATATGCAGTTGTATAATCCAATTTTTTTTTGTTTTAACAATGTAGCAACTTATACTTCTTTTTATACTGTTGTCCTGAGAGAAAAGTTTTCTCTTTTTGTTAACCCTACCCTACCCGACCTCTCCCTTATCCCCATTCCCCCCCCCCCCCCCCCCCCCTCTTAACCGGTGGACGACTGGCTCTGGGTTCCAATTGTTTGTCTAATACTCAGGTTTTCCCATTTAGAAAAATGAATAGTGAGAGTTCCCCTCATTGCTGCCAATTTCCTTTCTTCTACTTTATCCCCTATTATACTATTCTTTATTTCATTAAAAGAGGGTGGTTTTTTAAGTTCTCTATTTCTATAAATCAGATATTTAACAAGAATTAAAACATGATTCATTAATTGATATTTTCCTTTATTTCTCTCCTCTTTCCCATACAGAATTTCCTCCAAACTACAGTTATGTATTTCAAAGTCTAAAAATCTCGTGCACATTTCCCACACTGATTGTGCAAATTCACAAGTATAGAATAAATGTTTATATGTTTCTTCATCTTTTTCGCAAAATGAGCATAAGTTAGTCGAGACAAGACCAAAACGGAAGAGGTGATGGTTTGTATATAATATATTATGTATAAGTTTGAACTGAAACTCTCTTAATCGACTGTTAAGTGTACACTGTCTTAGTCTTAAAAATATGTTTTCTATTTCCTTACAGGAAAAACCATAGTTCCTTCCAATTCTCTCAAAAACCAAAGGTTTAAAATCATCTTTCTTTATTAATTGTACATAAATTTGTTTTGATTTTAAATCAGCTATATTAGTTGTTTTCTTCCCCAAAGTGAAATCAGTTCCAGAATTATTTTTTTCTTCTCCCTTTCTAAAATTATTTTTCCAACAAACTGGTAAACAGGTATAAAAGTGCTTGATCTTTTCAATTTCATTTACTTCAACACCTAAATCGATAAAATGCCTGTCACTTTTTAGTTTACCATCGTTTTCCAGAATATGTTTTAATTTGTAAATTCCTTTGTCATACAACCTCTTATCGTATATACAACTTCCTTTATATCGAATAAGTTTATTATTAAAAATTACCACATCACCAATGTCTATACTCCTTATATGTCTCGTATTCACCCAATCTTCTAATAAATCCTTATAAAATTGTGGAGCTGTCACTTTTAATAAACTTGGTATATAGTCACATGAAAATATCAAATCTCCACCCACGTGTTCAGTGACGAAGTTAAAATATTGTTTCCATTTCATGTCTTCATCTTTGTTTAGAAGTTTTTGAATCCACATAATTCGCTGCGATTTAACTTGTGCAGAAAAATTTAACATCTTTAACCCCCCTTGGTTATAGTCTAAGAACATGGTGTTTCTATTGATTTTATCTGTTTTTCCTTTCCATATGAAATCAAAAGTTAATTCATCCAGTGAATCATAAACCCATTTTGGAACAGGAGTAAGTGACGCCCGATAAAGAACTTTAGAATAAATGTGCACTTTCAATAGTTGAATCTTACCCATAAGTGTTAAATCCCTTTGCTTCCAAAAATTTAAAAGTGTTTTTATTTTACTTAAGATTTCTTTATAATTTAGATCTTCTTTCTTGTGTTCATCGAGGGAAAAGAAAATCCCTAAAACCTTAAGAAAGTCAACTATTTCGCCAAAAGCAAAATCACAATCTAAACGTTGACATGAACCTAACCTTAATATTTTAGTCTTGTCGTTGTTTATTTTCAGTCCAGAAATTTTTTCGAAATCTGCAAATAATACTTTTAACCTATTAATTGATTTTTTATTGCGAACAAAAATTGTCATATCATCCGCATAAAGTACTAGTTTAGTTTCCTTATCTCCAAAATTAATTCCGTCCACCAATTTATCTATTCGTAATTTGTGTGCCATTACTTCAATACACAAGATAAAGAGGTACGGAGAAAGAGGGTCTCCCTGTCTTACTCCCCTTTCTACTTTGAAATAACCAGTGGACCCTCCTTCATTTAATACACAACTTAGAGTGTTCATGTATAAAACTTTAACCCACTTTTGAAAGGACGGACCGAAACCAAATGACGACAGAACTTTTTGAAGAAATTGATGTGAAATTGAGTCAAAAGCTTTTTCGAAGTCTACAGCTAACAAAAAACCAGATAAATTGTAACGGGATGTATGAAAAATAATATCATCTATAATGCGAATGGCCTCACCAATATTCCTCCCTTTCATGTAGCCCACCTGATCTCCCATAATGATCTCATTTAATACTTTCTTGATTCGCTTAGCCAAAATTTTTGTTAAGATTTTATAATCGACATTAAGAAGGGAAATGGGTCTATAATTTTTCAGTGAAAAGGGATCTTTCCCATCTTTAGCGATTAACGTAATTACAGCTTGTTTTTGAGACGATGCTAATTCTCCTAATCTATATGCTTCATTCAAGGCATCTTTAACTAAATCTCCAATATTCGGCCAAAAGGTACGATAAAATTCTGAAGAAAAACCGTCATTTCCAGGTGATTTGTTCTGTTTTAATTCTTTTAAGATTTCTAGGCATTCTTTATTACTTATAGATCCTTCACAGTATTCTCGAGATTTTTCAGTCAATTTCGGTAAACCTTGAAAGAAACTATTATAACAATTATCCGAGCACTCGTACTCTACTTTACTGTACAACATGCTGTAAAACTTCCGGATTTCTTCAGTTATCCTTTTTTCATCGCAGCAAATAGCACCATCTGAGGTTTTAATTTTTTTAATAGTACTCTTTCTTTTGTTATTTTGCATTAATTGATTGAAATAACGCGAATCCCTTTCTCCGCTTTCGTACCACGAGGCTCGTGATCGAATCCTAATTCCTTCATTTACATAGCTATAAACTTCCTTTAATTTCTTTTTTGTATTTTCCAATTTTTCTAAAGTATCTGCATTAGTGCTTTCCGTCAATTGTTGTTCTAAACATTGTATTTCTTTTTCTAAATCTGTTCTTATTGTTCTTCTTTGATCAGCCAATTTTTTTGAAAATTTTTGTGTAAAGCTCCGAATTTTCATTTTTAAAAAATCCCATAACAACCTTTTGTCTTTTATTTTAGTTTGCAATTCGTTTTTTAATTGACAAATTTTCTTTTTTAACTCTCTAACATAATCTTCATTTTCACATAAACTATTATTGAATTTCCAATATGACCCTTTTCTTCCATTCGTTTTATTGACTGTTTTGTCAAATAAACGTAAAAATATTGAATGATGATCAGGGGCAACAGATGGAATTATATCGCACTTCATAACCATTTCCTCTAGACATTCTGATATTATCCAGTAATCTAGTCTACTTTGCATAAAGGGATTGTTTTGCATATAAGTGAATTGCCTTTTTAAAGAATGCCTACATCTCCAAATATCCAAAAGCTGCAAATCTTCCATGAATTTTTCAAATTCTCGATTAAATCTTTTCGAAATCCTGTTTAAAGATTTCCCGTTATAATCAAATTCAATGTCCCTAATCATGTTAAAATCACCACCTATTATAACCGGGTAGTTATCTTTATTTAACTTAGCCAGATTATTGCGTAATTTTCGAAGAAATTGCAATTGATCACTCTCAAAATTTCTTGTTGGAAAATACACATTGCCTAAAATCAACCTAACACCTTGAAACTTACAGTCTATAAAAATATATCTACCCTCACTGTCTTTTAAGACTTGCAATATCTCAATATCTATCCTCGGCGCAATCAAAACAAGAACTCCTTTACTGTGATTAGAACCATGACTAAAATAAGTAGAACCCTCCCACATTGAAGCCCACTTGTCCTCACAATCGCTAGTACTAAATGTTTCTTGTAGGAAAACAATGTCCGCCCCTTTATCTTTACACCAGAAAAATATGCGTTCCCTTTTATCTCTGTCCCTGATCCCTTTCACGTTGAGGGAGAACAATTTACAATTAATCAGAACATCCATAACCTATCACACACAAGAAAATTTAACCCAGTCCCAGAGCCAATCCCCCACCTTAAAGGACCCCACGAAAAGCAAGAACGAAACCCCGTCATCTGGGAAAGAAACTGATACATGTAAGGCATGCAATATTGCAGCTCCCCCGCCCCACCCCTCCCACTCTAAAAATTTCTATTTGAAGGTAACATTCCCGAAAATAAGGCTATAAAGGATTATGTACCCTCTCCACATTGAAGGTGCTATAATAGCCTGACTTACAGAATACACAAAATAAATGCTTCCTTGCAATTATAAAAAAAAAAAACATGTCATGTACGAAAATCTTTGAAGGCTCTTGAATCTATTAATCACAAATTGATTAAGTATTCAGGAGTAAATTACATTTCAATAATCAACATATAAAAAGGGAACATCCTTAATAATCACAGGGTTGTAAACCAGTATCTTCCCATATAATAGCTTAACTACCAAGTAAATACCAACATGAAAAACATGCAGCTGGTAAGTACACCTGGGAACAACCAATACTCTCCGAAGCTACATCTTATCTTCTCTTATTAAGGAGTGATGCATTTCACCAACAGTCTCACAATAATAACTACAGACCCTTGGAATTTGCATGCATATAAAAATAAAAAAATTTAAACAAAAAGATGACATTCTTGAAACGCATGTAGTTCGAAGCTTAAATACTTCTCAAACATAAGGAAATTTGACTTGGCAACAGCCCTGAAAAAAAAAATGAAGCAATTATTTGACTAAGAATAAGAGTTATCCATTTACATTCCAATACTCTCCGAAGCTACATCTTTTCTTCTCTTATTAAGGAGTGATGTATTTCACCCAATCAACAGTCTCAAATTAGAAACTACAGACTCTTGGAATTTGCATGCATATAAAAAAAGTTTTTTTTTTAAACAAAAAGATGACATTCTTGAGACGCATGTAGTTCGAAGCTTAAATACTTCTCAAACATAAGGAAATTTGACCTGGCAACAGCCCTGAAAAAAAAAATGAAGCAATTATTTGACTAAGAATAAGAGTTATCCATTTACATTCCAATACTCTCCGAAGCTACATCTTTTCTTCTCTTATTAAGGAGTGATGCATTTCACCAACATTCTCACAATAATAACTACAGACCCTTGGAATTTGCATGCATATAAAAAAATAAAAAATTAAACAAAAAGATGACATTCTTGAGACGCATGTAGTTCGAAGCTTAAATACTTCTCAAACATAAGGAAATTTGACTTGGCAACAGCCCTGAAGAAAAAAATGAAGCAATTATTTGACTAAGAATAAGAGTTATCCATTTACATTCCAATACTCTCCGAAGCTACATCTTGATCTTGATGATCGATTGTCATGATTGGGGGGCATCATGTTTATTTGTGCCTCCATTTTTTAAAATAAATAATTTCATAAATAATAGTAATCAATTTTCTAGGCATATCGAATACGGAAAATGCCATTGATGGGGGAATTAGGGGGAGGAAGAGGGGGATGTCAGGAAAGGCTTCTGACTTACTTTAGTTTTGCCTTCGGCTTCAGATATTTGTCTGATGAAGGGGTGACAAAAGTTCGCAGAGATTTTGATGATTGATATATTAATCATTAGCGATATTCAATTCATGATTTCTCATATTCTACACAATTGTTTTTATTTCAATTAGACCTAGTCTATAACTAAATGGATGGCAAAGTTTTGGAAAATTTATTGTCCGGAGAAAGTCTACCGCGCGCGATCTAAAAGTTTGATGTCGGATCGGCATGTTTGAGTTTGACTCTTAAAAGTCTTAGAACTTAGAAGATTCATGAAATATTGCGTGTAAATTTCTTCAAACTGCTGGATTAGTAAATTAGATCGACTGTCTGGATATAACAACTTGACTGGGTGCGTGATCAGTCAAGATTATTATTGAACAACTGTTCCCTTTCATTTTCATCACACTCACAGGTCGAGGGTCAAGTGTTTTCAGAAAGAGATGTCCAGGTCTAGTCTGCAGTCCAATATCTTGGTGTAATTATGGAACAAGCCAGCAAAATTTATGAAGAATTGGAGGATGCAGATGATGCAATTCTTGGAGAAGATGAAGTCTGTAAGCTTCAATTATCTGAAGATGATGCACTGCAAAAGAACCCACAAGATGATGAATCAAAGCCAGGAGAGGAAGAGCAGAGGGATTCTAATGAAATAGCAAGTGATAGTATTAGCCATGTCGAAGAAACGTCTGGCCAGGATGTACGTGCTATTAGTAATGATGATACTGCTGAATCAACTTTTCCCAAGAAGGCCCCAGAGGTTGGACAATCACAACCAGAGCTGGTGGCAGCGATGGATGTACCAGTTCCGGATGTGGAGGACAAAGCAAAGGTCGATGCTGATCAAGAGTCAGGCGCATTGGCAGGAAATTCTCTGAAGCCTGATTCCTGCAATCAAGGGGGAAAGGAAGTGCAAGAATCCTTGACAGAAGCTGCTCAAGATTCAGTCAAAGAATATGAAGAGGAGGGACAGTCTGCTTCCTCTGAGCAAAGCCTAGAAAAAAAAGGAATTACTGAAGAAACTTCAGAAATTCCAGGGCTTATAACAGATGTGGGAGATGGTGTGCAGGTTGGTGCTGACAAAGATGCTACTGTACTTAGTGAAAGCGTTTCTCCTCCGTCTAGCTCACAAAATCAAGGAGAGGAACCCTTGGCTACTTTAACAATGGATGATCAAGGATCGGGTGAGGGCCATGATGGGATTGATAAAGATACACCCGGCGAGCAGGACATGGCCAAAGGGGATGGTCCTGAGGGATCTTCTGCAGTGCAGATGATGTCTGAGCAGGAAGAGACGGACATATCTGCAATGGAAGAAGTGGCAGAGAGAGGTGATGAGGGCTGGTCTGAGGACATCACTGGTGATAACCCACCACTTGATAGTCAACAACCTCTTGAAGCCTTTCTTCAGGAAACTACTGAACCTATTGAAAGTGAGTTAGTAAGAGAATCTGGTTTGGATGCAGAAATGGACACCTCTGAACCATGTCCTGATGGAGACAAAGAAACAGATGTTGGTGAGAGAACAGTAGAGATTCAAGAGGCCGGGGGAGATGCACCAAGGGTAGATAATGTTGAAGGATTTAATGATGAGACGGGTGATGGAGGTCAGTTAGGAACCGATTTGAATGAGGAAGATGAAAGAGTCCTGGATCAGCAAATAACTGATGATATTGAGGGTGGTGGCAATGTAGGGGAGGAGGGCATGGATCATAATGAGAAACCACTGACAACCCAAGAAGAGGATCAGCTACTTTCAGAAGACACTCAAAATGAGTCTACTCAGCCCCCAAGTCAGTGGGAAGAAAGCCTTGCAAATCAAGATGCAAATCTATCTTTTGATGAACCTATGGACACGAGTGAAGGTGAAGGGGGCACAGGGGCAACTACCAAGGAGTCAGATGATGGTAACGTAGGAAGTGCCATGGAAATGAGCGATAACATGATAACTAGTAATACTACCATTTCGGAACTTGAGGATAGCGGTCATAACCAAGCGCTTCCTGCTGAGGGGTCTGCTCACGCCGAAAACATCACGTCTGGTGCTGAAGCCCTTGTGAGAGTCGGTGAGTCTAACAGTGGATCCAGTATGCAAATCAAGCAGGAAATTTTGACTGAGGTCATGACCGAAGTGCAGGCCAACACCGAGGCTGAACCTCTCCAAGCTGCTGAAGATACTAGCACCACCAGCAACCCTGTCCTGGAGAAAGACCAAGATGTGAAGCCTCCCAAGGCAGAACTTGACAGTGTCTTGGACCAGACCCAATCCAAGCAGACATCACTGGGGGAGGCAGAAAGTACCCCTGCTTCACAGGCAAAGAAGAGCAAGGGCTTCAGTATCACAAGCATTGTAGGAAGGCTCTTTGATAAGAAGGAGGAGGAAGCTAGGAAAAGAAAAGAGGTAAGAAAAAGTAATGCTAGCTTTTTATTATGTTCCCGGCAGCCTGTGCGCCGTGGGATTTTGGCCATTTCCCCTTTTTTTCAAGTTTTAGGTCTCGCAAATTTTGTTTGTAACGTACTGTCACATTTTGTAGCGTTCACCCATTTTACTACAACTTACTAGGTTTCTCAATTGTTGTTTTGGAACTTACCCTTACACCTCAAATCCATGACTACTTAAGAAATTATGATTTACAGTGCCTCCTATTTTCTGACTGTAGTCTTTGCCGAATTATTCATTTCCATTACTACATACCGTAAATCTCTGTGTATAAGGCGTCTTTTTTGCCGCCGAAAAAAATTTGAAAGTCGGGGTTGCGTCTTATACACAGGTACAGAAAAATAGTTTTTTTTTTTTTTTTTTTTTTTTTTTTTTAGCTTCAATTTATGGCGCTATGCCTGGCAATGTCTCCTAGCTCAGTAAACAGTGTGTTGACTCACCACTCGGAAACTACAACAACACTCAAATTTGTCTGTCATCTTGGTTTGAAAGTAATCTTTCTAATAGATCTCACTCAATATGTAGTTTATAATAATAATTCCTCAATTTTTTTTCCATAACAAATGGTGTACCACAAGGTTCTATCCTAGGTACTCCATTGTCAGAAATTTAGAGGATGCTATTCATATCATGCATGACTATTGATGTTTGGCATAGAACACAGTGCTTCTGCTAGGTGATGTGATGAGGCTGGTGTGGGACACTTGGTATCATGAAGCCTTAGACTGTTGTTACTTTTATTTATGACAAGTTCACAACTTCAACTGCACCTCGATGTAAAATGAAGGTCCTTCCCCGCGTGGGTTTTCGGCAACAAAACAACAACAACAACAACAAAACAAAAAAACTTTTTTTTTTTTTTTTTTTTTTTTTTTTCTTCTTCCTTTCTTTCTCCTCCCCAAAATAGGGGTGCGCCTTATACACGGAGATTTACGGTACATACTTGGATTGTTGTGTTCCTCCTTGATTCTGTTTTGTGTGTCCCCAGAGTCTTTTAATACTGTATCCAATTTTGCTGGAACAATGAATTATTTTCCCCTTCTTTTATTTTATTTTCAAGAATTTCCATGGGTGTCCATGTCCCATGACCACTTCAGTAAATGAAGAGTTTATTTCCAAAAGGAGCTAAATCCATTTTTGTTACTTTGGAGAAAAAAGAAATTGTTTACCAGACTTTGTATAGGGTCAGGCACAATCTATGAAAAAGTGATACTAGAAGGTGCTTTATTTCATATTTGCTCCCAAAATGTAGGTAAATAGTTTTGATAAAAGACAGGTACTTTAGTGAACAATGATCTGATATCAATAACTCAATTTTCATAAAAAGTGGATTTAGCTCCTTTTGGAATTTAGCTCTTCAAATAGTGACATACCCCCTTTTGTTATCTCATTGCGTAGACCTCTCCTGAAGAACCCCCTGACGAGATTGCCAATGTTTCCTTCAAGATCTCCGGTGTCAAGTCCCTAGCTGCTCCTGAACAGGCAGCAAAGCAGCAGCAGAGACAAGAGATGAGGCAGACCACCGCCTCACCTTTCGTCATAGCCAAGGTCACCTCCCTGGCTACAGAGGTAAAATAATGATTATAATAGTAGTGGGTTCTTGTATAGTGCTCATGTCTGTCAGACTTGACACTCCTTGCGCTCCCGATTATTACCCTGGCTTTAGCACGGCTGCCATTACAGCGCTGTAGCATTTCAAGGAATTAATTCCAGCCAGGTACCCATTTGCATCACCTGGGTTGAGTGTGGCAAATGTAGATCAATATCTTGCCAAAGGACATTAGTGCCGCGGTGGGACTCGAACCGTGGACCTTGTGATTGACAGTCCGGTGACATATCCACTTGACCACAACGCCTCTAAATGAGTTCTTGAAGGAGATATCATCTTTTTGGAGCAGGAAGGGTGTTCACTTGTATTTCTTTATACAGAGTCAATGCCCCTCTAGCCCCAACAAATTAACTAATTACTGTGTAGAAAAAAAAATGTATATTACATAAATTTTATCTGAAAATGTCCTCAGGAATATTTATCTGTCTTTGTCTACAGGTACATATACTTGAGAATCCACTCAAAGTCATTTAATACTATTCATTTACACTCAATATTTGTCTCTCTGTTCGGTCCAAGCTCCAAGCTTTAATATTTGTAGCGTACATTACCGACCACATGTCAGTAATGTGTATTTCTGGTGATCACTTCAGTCAATAAATTAATAGCATCACTGGAGCTTTGATCGGACAAGATTTGTGATAAGTCATGTTTCTGGACCCTGTATTATAAAGAATTGCGATCGATTCAAATTGATCACAACTTGAAATTAATCCCAACTATGTACTTAAGAGACAGGAGTTGAGATTACTTTCATGTTGTGATTAATTTGAATCAATTACATCTTTTTATGAGACAGGTACCTGGTGAAAGTTTATACTCATAATTCCATAATACTTGGTAACATATAGGACATAAAATGCTCTGGGCCCCATCTTACAAAGAGTTGCGATTGATCCAATCAATCGCAAGTTTGCAGTCTTCTATCTCTTATGTACATGCTTGTGATTGATATCAATCGCAAATAAGTTGCAATTGATATCAACTCTTTTTAATACGGGCCTTGGACTTGCCCATTTATTTTTGCCAACCATTCTCAATGACCTCTATCTCTGTTCAGGTCGAGAAGTGCAGCAAGTGTAGCAAGCAGATAGAATCTGAGAAATCGGCATACAAATGGCAGAAGGAACTCTTCTGTTCTTTCTCCTGCCTGGACACCACGAGGATCACCTCCACCAAGACGGTCACCTGCGACTCCTGCACCGTAGTCCTGCACCCCAGGATCAGGAACGTCCACTTTGCCAAGGTCGGCAAGGAGATGCGCGAGTTCTGCTCCACCCGTTGCTCCAAGAACTCGGAGGAGTCGCCCAAGCTTTGCCCGGGGTGCGGCAAGGATGTGTCCTCTTCGAGTAACCCGGTACTAGCTCAGGTGAGGATCATTTGAAGTGATTATGGAAGAAAATGAATGGGTTTTTATCACAAAGGCAGAAGTTACTGATTGATGGAAATTTTTGATTTAATTAGAAAACCAGAAATGATGCTTTTTGGAACATTACTCATTTTTGTCACACATATTGTTGTATGCCCAGTAGAAAGTCATGATCACAAAAATGTCTTGCCTCTGTAGGTTCAAATTCTGAAGTAATAATATCACTATTCACAATTCTATTTCGAATTTCCTCTATCTTTCTCCTCTCTCACTTTCCTTCTCTCTCTCTCACTCTCTCTCTCTCTATCACTCTCTCTCTGTCTCTCTGTCTCTCTCTTTCTGTCTGTCTCTCTCACTTTCCTTCTCTCTCTCTCTCACTCTCTCTCTCTCTCACTCTCTCTATCACTCTCTCTCTGTCTCTCTGTCTCTCTCTTTCTCTTTCTCTTGCTCTCTCACTTTCTTTCCCTTGCTCTCTCACTTTTATTCTCTCTCCCTCTCTCTCTCTCTCTCTCTTTCTCTCTCTCTCTTTCTCTCCTTACTCTTTTTCTCCCCCTCCCCCCTCTTTTTTTTCTTCTTTCCCCTACCCCTCCCCCTTCTCTCTCTTTTTTTCACTCTCTCTCTCTCTCTCTCTCTCTCCCTCTTTCTCTCTGACTCCTGCGTACAGACTGGATCGGAGGGTATCTTCTTTGAGTTCTGCACCCAGGACTGTGTCAACCAGTATGAGGAAAGAATCTTGGGCGATACCAACAAGGATCATGAAATCTCTGTCTTAAAACAAATCAGGTCTACATGTAATGAGTGTGAAAATCTTGCAGAGGTAAGATAGTTCGCCCTCTCCCAGGAATTTAGAGCAATTGAAAACAACACTTTCTGATCTTCAAGAAAAAATATCAGTAAATCATTATGTGATGATGTAATCAATGTCATCTGCAAAGTTGCTACATATCATTATGAATATGAATATGGACTTCTAAAGAAATATTAAATGAGATACTGTTTTCGTCCATGATTTAGTTATTGAAGTCGGAGTTATATTTGTTAATGTTTAGCATTAGTGCTGTATGCGTTCATCCTTTTCTGATAAAAAGAGAAATTTCTGTAGAAGGGGTATTATACAGAGTAATAAGGCTGTGAAGGGTAGTCGAATGCTCAAGTACCCGCACGGTTGACAACTACTCGGGTACGATTTCTCGTACCCGAATATTCGGCCGCAAAAAAAATTATAAAAAAAACAAAAACAAAAACAAAAAACAAAAAAAACATGGCGTCCGAATACTCCAGTATTCGCTTGTAAACATAGGAGTGTACTCGGGTACCTCATTACACTGTTGTGCACAGCCTTACAGAGTAAGCTTGTTTAATATTGCCACACTCGACCCAGGTGAGGTAAATGGGTACCTGGGAGGAATTAATTCCTCTGGAGCGCTGTAATGGCAGCTAGGCCAAAGCCGCGGTAATAATAAGTGCGCCTCGGAATAGAATTTCTAAATAGACGGCGCTATACAAATGCCTAATATTATTATTTTTATTATTTCCTACAAATCAAAGCCAAGAGTTCCCTATCTTTCCTTTGCACCTTCATTCTCCAGATTCGTTATGAATTCAGCTTTCATCAAGTGAAGAAGCTCTTCTGCTCTGAAGCCTGCTTCGATGCCTTCCGTATGAAGTACAACACGAAGATCGATCGATGTGCCACTTGCAAGTGCATGTGCTCCAATGATGCTAGTGCTGGCATGACGATGACCCTCGATGGACAAACTTACCAATTTTGTAGCGAAAAGTAAGTGATCTGTCAATTTCTCTTCTTTTCTGGATGTTCATCTTCATGACTCTCGCTTTGCAGTGAATGAGAGCACTGCTGTGTTGGTGCTGCAAAATCTTTACGATTCTGATCTCAATTTTAAATGAATGACAGTTATATTGCATTTCGGTTCCTATAGAATGAAAGATTTTTGTGTGCTAGAAAATTTTGCAATATTAGTTTAACAAACAAAAACAAAAAAATTTAGTCACAACTCTGAACATTTGCAGTTTGCAAAAGTTTCTCGTCGTATAAATACAGTTTGTGAAATTTTCGGGCATAATAGCCCGAATTCTCAAAGGAGGTTTGTCAACAAACCTAGGTTTATGTGCGTCATATGAAGCGTTTCGATGCATTTCAGACAAGCGTGAAATGCGTCATATGACGCACATAAACCTAGGTTTGTCGACAAACCTCCTTTGTGAATTTGGGCCTGAAAGTTTGCTGTTTACAGTAACAAGGAAATTGGTATGATAGCTCTGTATAAATCCCGTCATTCTTTTATTTGATAACATCATTATAAAGTGCTATACCCATCCAGAGTTATATGTATATGGTCTCATCATGTAATTCATCAACATTTGTTCTAGATTAATGCTAAAGCATGAATTTTCCTTTCCCCCCCCCCCCCATCCACTCCAGGGTCGGAGGGACTGCATGCATGGTCCCAAAATGTCCGGTAAAGGGGTACCTGTCACGCACCAAAGTCTGGCTCGTAGCACACAAAAATCCGGCCCGTATTGACTTTACACACCGGACTTAGGGGTGTTTTCAAACATAGGAACATGCATACGCGTACCCTAAATAACAGTGAGTGGAGGGGGGGGGGGGGGTTATTTCATTGCTGGTATGTGCTCCAAAAACACAGCAACTAGAAATTTATGAATTATTTTTTTTAAATTTGACTATGATAGATGTAAAGGCACCTTTGCCCAGCATTGCACGTACTGTTCTGCTAAACGCCCCGTGAAAACGATGCTCGAAGATGGCGACTCCAAGAAATATTTCTGCGCTCTGGCTTGTAAAGACAGCTATCAGAAGAAACATGGTGGTAAGTGGCCAGCTAAAGTTAAAGAGGAAGTCTACTCTAATATTTAGTTGGTTCTAAGAGAAGGAGAAAAATGAGGGGAACAGGTCAGTGGGAGTTTGAGCAAAAGTCAACCAAAAATACGAAATTTATGAATTTTTGAGAGTGCGATCAATCAAACACAAACTGTCAACCCTGTGATGTATCTTGTGAGCTCTCCTCCCAATTGCTCTTTACTTAAAAACTTCAAAAATTTATATTTTCCCTTTAGAAAGTTTTTTATCCTAGACATTCACTCAAAATATGTTTATTGCAAATAGGTTTTTGTATAGGTTTTTGTACACCTGTCTATTATGTCATCAATAGCTAAGAAAATGAAAATCAACAAAATTTCAAGATACGTCACTGTGTTGCCAATATGTGTGTGTGAAGTTGAAGGTGAACAAAATAGTATTCTGTAAACTTTTTTTTATTATTTTCATATCTATGTCAGTGTGGAAGAATAGGATAGTAGAAATATTCCCTGAATAGGATTGCTCTTCTCATGCCCTCATATTGGAAATTTGAGGAGGAATAGCTGAATAGTTTGGACAAAACTTAAATGTGGTCCCATGTGCCCATTTCTGTGTGCATTACATGTGGTTCTGCATGAACAAGATTAAGCTGATTTCTTATAATTTTAATGATTCCATCAACACAACTAGTTTGTGATCAAATTATCATGAGAACCAAAAGACAGATTACTATCAAACTCAAGACATGTATATGTATCTTGCAGAGCCAATGAACTGAGTAGATTTTAGGGTCATCAGGTCTAAGGTCATGGGGCTCATTAAGGATGCCTATAAATAGCTTGTGAATGCATTATTAAAGACGACAAATGGATTACAATCAAACTTGAATTTTAAAAGTTGCTTCCGTTTTGGTTTGTATAATTGCTCTATGGCGGAGGAATCATTTTCGATTGCGCGCAGTCGAAGTTCCATCTATTTTAACAATAGAATTCAGAATAGTTTCCTTGCGATCTATTGATTATTAGTTACTCATAGAATGATTTACACTATCAGGTATAAAGGGAGTTTATTACCAAAACTTGATCATAATACATTACACATAGGAAATAGAATTATTTGCTAATAGGCCACCGTTAGATAACTATAACTGCTAATAGGGTGCAGTACCCCTATACAATTATATACAGGTAGAGTAACCTTTGAAGTAATGACAATGTACTCTGCAGGCGCACCTCCAGCAAGTATCTTTGAATGTTTGACAGGCAACACCAACGCAGCCATGCCCCAACTAGCCCTACCTCCCATGACGCCACTGAACAGCATCCATGTACCCTCAGCCACCAGTGAGGTACCCCAGTCCATCACCTCCAACCAGCCGCCTCAGCAGCAGGCGCAGAAGCAACCCCTGCAGACGGTGGTCAACACAGCAGGACCGCAACCCTCCAAGTGCAACCACTGCCAGAAGGTGCAGCGCCCTCTCTACCACCTGACCATGAGCGACCGCACCCTGCGCGACTTCTGCAGCTACAACTGCGTCATCTCCTTCCAGTCCCAGTTCAACGTCCCGCCCGTCACCCTGCCCGAGGAGACGCTCCTCTTGAGGTGCCACAAGTGCCAGAGGGGGTTCAACTCTCGCCCCTTTGTCTTGGACTATGAGGACAAGACTTCCCTCTTTTGCAGTGAGCTCTGTTTGGAAGATTATAAGAGGGTGAGTTGCAATGTTTGCAAGAAAAGCCTTATGCTGAAGCAATTTACCTGAAATAAAAAGGGGAGGTGGTGTTCCTTCTTGTTAAGTCTGAATTTAAGAAGAGTGCGAAGTTTAAACCCTATCTTTCGTAGGTAGTGAGTCTTTTTGATAGCTCCCCACCCCCCATACAGAAGTATTCTTTACTTAGCACCCTAAATCGCCTTTTAGACATTCTTTGTACATTTTCACTGTTTTTTACTTTTTTGTACTTTGAACAAATGGCTGAAGGACTTTGTTAAAAATTCAGGTTGTACTGTAATGAACATTAGAAGTAGAAGAAGGATTTAGAATAATATGAAAGAGTAGACAGGCAGCTATTTCAAGAGAAGAACAACACATGCATTCAAGTTATCATAGGTCTGCTGGCTTTAATTTGCTATAGTATCTACTCAAGAACCGATTGAAGATCCATCTACCAGTAGTTCCTTTTGATCTCCTTCCTCTTACAGGATGTTTTCTTGAATATGGACCATCATTTACCAAAGTTTTTAAATGCCGATGTTCTTTAATGTACTACATGTTCTTGTTTTACAGACCAACTGTGTCTTTGTGCAGTGTGATCAGTGCCATCAAGAAAAGATTCTTTTTGAAAGGACACACTTCTCTGGGGAACCTAGGACCTTCTGCAGCCAAGGTATGTTAATGAAACCTTAGAACGATAAGGTCTGCAGGTTTTCTTAATTTTGTATGTTTACAAACTATAACCTTTACACTGCTCTCTGCAGTGTAAAGTATCAATAAACAGAATAAATAAAGGGAAGAAACAATTATTTAAAATGAATGAGTGATGTAGGGCAGGTTTTGAATTTGTTTAACTCCGAAAGAAATGGTCTTCTTCATCATCATCAACATCATCATCATCATCTTCATCATTATCATCATTTATTAAAGTCATGACCCATTCCATGAACCCCCTTATGTTCATTCTATCGGATAGTTTCACACCACAAATCTTCCATATCATGGTTCTTTCTGTTATCCTTGAGATACCTTCATACAGTGCGCGTGTATGTGTATGCTTTTAAAATGGGTTTAGCTGGAATACTCCTCAAGGAGTGGAGGGTGTGCACTATCATGTGCAGAATAGCAAACTAATCAAACCTTGTGGCCGGTCTAATAATAATTACATGTAAAGTGCTTAGAATAGTGCTATACAAATATCACTATCAAATATCACTATCATTGCCGAAGCTAAAGCTAGGGTAATAATTTTGAAAGCTCTTTGGAAACGTATAGAGATGTTATTTCATAAGGTACTTTGCGCTATACAACAACTGAATATTATTATTATTATTATCATAATTGTTTTTGTTTTTCCTGCAGGTTGTATGCTGCTCTTCAAGCAAGAGATCGTACAGACCCTGGGACTTCAGTGCATCGTATGCGACTACTGCGCCCAGATGTGCAAGAAGGAGGTGTCCGATACCATTGGAGGGATCAAGCGGCACTTCTGCCAAGAGGAGTGCAAGTCCAAATACGAGCTATGGTTCTACAAAGTGGCTAGGTAGGTCAGAACTTTAATAAGTCAGAATATTCAAAATAGTAAACGATTGTTTATGTAATGTATAATTTTAGAATTTCTCTTTTTACCCTAGAGGAAAGTTCATCCCACAGTTCTTTTACAGACAGAATATACTACATTTATACATGTAGGATTCTTATATTTTAGAGCATCTGTTGATTAATTCATGTATTTTGATCTTCTTCAAAACATTGAATTTCTTTGAGTGTTTTCCTTCTCTAACTTTGAGGGTCACTCTTGAAGCCAGCGGGTTGTTTCACAAAGATCCTTAGTAGATCTTAACTCTAAGTCAGACTTAAAATTTATGGAGAGCCATTTGTAGCCTTAAAATGAAATACATTCAAAAGCAGAAATTCAAGTATTTTAGACTTTTCATAAATTCCACATCAAGAACATGAATTCATGATATGAATGATCTGAATCAACATTTCAGTCCAACTTTTACAAAATATTTTCAAAGATGCTAATGGCTTTCCATAATTGTTTAAGTACAACTTAGAGATAAGTTCAACTTAGGATCTTTGTGAAACACCCCCCTGGATTACTACGAATCGAAACAGCTCAAGCTCAGCACTGACCTTCATCGTTATTCTTGCAGGTGCGATGGCTGCAAGAACACGGGTCGGCAGCTGACGGAGAAGTTCATGTGGCGAGGTCACACAAAGCACGTTTGCAACCAGCAGTGCCTCTTACTCTTCTACACCCAACAGAACATTCCCAATGTTACCACTCAGCTACCACAACCCATTCCTACATCCACAGCTCGTAAGTCTAGAGATAATGAAGGTCGTGGGTTCAAACCTCTGTATGACACTACTGTCCTTTAGGAAAACCTAGGTGGTACATAGGTGCTGGTAGGAAGGTACTCCTTGATGCTGTCCCTTTATAGAATTATCATTCTGTTATCACAAGGATTTTTGATTGATTGTCATTTGTTCCAAAGATTATGTGTGTTGTGCATAGACATTATAAACCAATTGGATAATGGTGAAAGAGTATTGTTATAACCCCCTAAACAGGTATTTCTACACCTCTGTTTGCTCATATGTATGTGAGGCCAGCATCCACTTTTTCCCTGCACCTTTTATTAGTCAATAAAGGAAGTGTGATATGTTCAGTAAATTATGTGTGCTTTGCATAGAGATTATAAACTTATAAGATGATGAAAAAGAGGTGTTTTTCCCCTCCTAATGATGAGTATACATCTCCCTGTAGCAGTCTTTAAAGTTTTGAAGTCGTCATCAGTGAAACACAAATTGGCAACACTGACATACCTTGCGAGCTCCTCTCCAATTTGCTCTGTACAGAAAATCAAAGGAAGTGTGGTATGTTCCATAGATTATGTGTGCTTTGCATAGTGATGATAATCCTGATGGATAATGGATGATGAGAGAGAATTGATTATAAAACTGACATTTCTACACGTCCATCTGCTCATTCATACATGTAGCTGGCATCTACATTTTTTATTTACCAGCTACAAGTAATTGGCCAAAGCGTCTGCAGCGCTTATTAAACATGCCATGTCAGCAATTTCTTTACTGCACAGTGCATCTTGTATTACCTACGTTAGTCATTAGAGTGTGTATTGCCCAATAATGCACTCCACAATAAAATACTATGGAAGCCCCACTGCACTACTAAAGCTTCTTGCGCCCTCAATATAGCAAACTATGCCTAATCGGTGACCGTTGGTCCCCTATGATCCCCTTTTTCTTATGTTAATTGAGAGCTGAATTGATGAGATAACCATGCAGGGAGGTCTAATCCCTCTTGGCCAAAATAGTGCAGTGGGGCTTAAAAACGTTCTTTTTCCTCCTAATGATGAGTATACATCTTGTATTTTTCTGTAGAGCATCAAACTCCTACCATTGCGAAGGTCATGTCACTTCTACCCATTGAAAGGCTGAGTGCACGTAAGTCAAATACAAAAATGTTATCATTTTTCTGCAAGATTTCAAAATACTCTTACTTTCGGAGTCTAACAGATTGGTATTGTTTGTTCGACGATTGTTTTACCTGACTGCTAAGAAAGCATTATATGCATATAAGTGAACAACCAGGGGACCGACGGCTTTTAGTCCTCTCCGAGGGATTATTACTAGCTGTGGGAAGACACCATAACTGGATTCATAATGCTAATGATAAAAGAATAGTGGACCCTTCTCCAGAGGTCGATTTTGCTGGTACACTTCCACTCAGTTCTGTAAAACGTTAACGTTAATGTAACCGTGTAAGGTAACGTGACACAAAGCATTACTCTGCGTAGCACTCGCACAATGCCCACCTTACAGACGTTTGGTAAACCTGGTATATTCTGTTTGCTGTGTGAATGAATGTTTCATGGCGCTTCGGTAGAAACAGACTCTTTTCATTCCGCCAAGGGGTACTGCTGAATTTTTACTCCAGGTGGACAATACCATTACTTTCTTGTCTCCCTTAGAAATATGCTTTTTGACTAAAGAGGAATATATTGAATCTAAATCCTATTTCTGATTTGCAAATACAGTCAAACCTGCTTTAGTGACCACCTGTCTACAAAGACCACATTTTTTTGTTTCCCTTGAAAATAGTTTCTCATTAAATCATGTACAAAAGTAACCTGTACATAAAGACCACCTGCCTATAAAGACCGATTTTCTTGTCTCCCGTGGGTGGCCTTTGTAGACAGGTTTCACTGCAATATGTGAGATTCCCCAAAACGAAGGGGCTACATTAAGTTTTTGTAAGTTCGACCGAATCGAGTCTTGTATCATAGCATGTCAACTTAGTGCTTAGTTACATATACCTTCAGATATAAACTTCAATCTTGAGGGAGGGGGGGGGGGGGTGAGGTAAAGCTCTCATTCTTAGTTTATTTTCTGATACATACAAAATAACAACAACAAAACATTTTGTTGGTGTTTCCTTGAATGAATAATATATTACAGCAGTTGTACCTGGCTATATTTATATTTCATATCCTTCTTACCACTGATATGCTATCATCAGTACCTTTGCATGGTTTTATCATTTTTACAATGGCTGTATCTTCAGATTGAATGCGATTTATGAAATGTATGATGTCCTTGTATGCAAATGTGTATATTTAGTTATTCAATACTGATTTATTTTCAGTTCACTTCGTTGATTGATTCCTTTATATTTCATTACAAATTGAATCATCTCCTCTCTGTGTTCTGTAGCGCGCACCGTCGTGAAGGAAAACAAGAAGCTTTTCACCAACAAGCAGACACAGATCACCACCAACACAGTCTACATCAAGCCCCCGCCCCCTCCCCCGCCCAATCTACCCTCGCCCCCCAAGATGATGCGGAACAAGATCACCTCCTGCCGCCCCATTCAGATCACCAAGGCAACCATGTGTCGACCAATCGTGAAGGACATGTGCGTCGGAACAGGTGGGTTCTTGAGGGAATTGCCTAGAAGTTGGAATAGTATTTATAGGTTTTGGAATCACCTTTTGCATGCCCGTGTGTGTGTGTCTGTGTGTGCATGTGTCTGACCTTTCACCTATGACATTCTCTCTCCCCTGAATAGTGATCACTTACAGTATAGAAAGTTCACATTTCAGGGGGGTGTTTCACAAAGATCCTAAGTTGAACTTATCTCTAAGTTGGACTTAACAATTATGGGAAGTCGTTAGCATCTATGAAAATATTTTGTACAAATGAATTTAAAAGGCATAAATGTTGATTCAAATCATTCGTATTTTCTAGTATCAAGAAATTTCATGTTCACCATGTGGAATTAATGTAAAGTCTAAAATATTTGATTTTTCTCTTTTGAATATATTTTATTTTAAGACTACAAGTGGCTCTCCATAATTTTTAAGTCCAACTTAGAGATAAGTTCAACTTAGGATTGTTGTGAAACACCCCCCAGTTTCCACCTGAGCAGGTTCTCTCATTGATACCTGCATGAAGAACCTGTGTCGAAAGGCCAACTGCTAACAAAGACCTGTCCTTGATTGTCTCCCTGTAGCAGTCTTTATCGTTTAGAAGTTGTCATCAGTGAAACACAAATTGGCAACACTGACATATCTTGCGAGCTCCTCTTCAATTTACTCTGTTCAGAAAATGTCATAAAACTTTCATTCTGTTAATTATCGTGATGGAATAGATTTGTTTCATGCAGGGGTTGTATGAAAATATATTTTCAATAATTATATTTAAAACCTACTTAATATCAGGGTGCTAAAATCATGTCTAGATTTCTTTGAAATGATTTCTGAAATTGGGCTTTCACTGGTCATTGAATTTAATATTTGATGTTCGCATTGGTGTAAAACCAAAAATTTGCTTTCATCATTTCAATACTAGAATCCAGTTGCTTTGTTTGAAACGCCTTTATCAAGAATAGCCACGACATGATGGCCCATCTGTCCTTCTTGGGAAGATTAAAGATAAAGACCAGTTATGGTCATGCGATTGCATTGTGAAAGAAACATTGTGGAATCGATCAGAAAAAGGTTGATCATCTAACATAAGTATTGGGGTGTATTGCAAGGTTCTAGAATCATCAAAATGATAATAAATTTGGCACAGTACTGGTAAAGTTACAAGCACTGTACACAGAAAGATGTATATTGGACTACGCAGATGTGCGCGACATGTGCGTTTATCTCTCACAGTCCAATAGATAAACTAATTTACCAAATATATCAATTAGTAGGCGGTTTCCCGGCAAAATGTTTATCATCATGTATTAGTCAAAACATATTCTTTCACATGATTGGTAAGAAAGAGCTTCCATTTCATTTTTTGAAATTGGGGCGTTTCCTATACTGGTCTTTACCTTTAAGCTAGAAGTCGAATTTCTTCATAAAAATAATTATAATAATATAATATTCCGCTTTTATACAGCACCCAATACATCGAATGTGTCTAAGCGCTTTACAGATACATTATTACCCGGTCATCGGATTCAGGCTTACCCGCACACAATAAATGCACATTCTCCACTCCCTGAGGAGCATTCATGCAATGTTTTTGATATTTCTCTTATATTCCAGACTTCCCCAAGGTTCCTGCCATAGTGCCGATCCCCTTCCCCGTCTTCATCCCGGTGCCTATGCAGATGTACACCAGCCACATCCCGCACCCCCTTGCCGTCCCGATCCCTGTCCCCGTCCCCATGTTCATCCCCGTGGCTGCGCGGGACTGCGACCGTCTCCTCAAGACCATCCAGGAGATCAAGGATCGCATCCCCTCAGACCCCCTGGAGGCGGAACTCTTCATGATGGCAGCGGCGGCCGCCAGCCCCCTGGAGGACGACGTGAGCGACCTCGGGACCTCGGAGCACGATGGGACGGGAAAGAGGGGGAGTGTCAGTGAGAAGGAGGGAAGCATAGGGAGTCTGGGGCAGAGGACCAGGGCGTCGCTCGTTGACCAGGCTATGGTAGAATGCGGACTGATGGATGAACCTATGGAAGGTGAGAATGACAGGGTTGCTGGTATCCAATTTATAAGATGATGAAATGGATCCAAATCATATAATTGGTTGAGAGCTTACACGTGACCAGGCATTTATTTTGCCTAAGGCGTAATTTTACTAATGACCAGTCATTAGTAAATACACATAATTTTACTTATGACCGTGTTAGACTGTTCCAAAGGTAACTTTTGTGGGTAATTCTTACTAATGCCTTCACTGCTGTGTATTATTCGTATAACATATATATATATCAGTGAGGTGGTTAGTACAAATCATCCACACAGTCAGTCTGCTTGGAACAGATTTGACAAATTTAAAGTACATGTACTTAATTTTGATAATGTCACTGATGCCTGAACATACGATGTGTATTACCTGTTTTATAAAATGGTGACGAGGATCTTTGTCATTTGATAAATTACCCTCTTCCCATTTTTCTCAGATTTCGAGTCAACTTCCAAAGTTATTAACTGGCTAATGTCAAAATTGCTAATGGCCTTCTTATGAGGATGGGGGTATCCACAAATTAAAAAAGATAAATCAAACAAGGCATAGCATTGGTCGCTTTTTTTAATTGAAATCTTATACTCAATTTTATACTTGTGAAGTTATCATCTCACACTGAACTGTTCCTCTCTTCCATTCTCTCTCTCTCTCTCTCTCTCTCTCTCTCTTGCTCTCTTTCTTTCTCTCCTTTTTGACATCCAGTATGATGTACGGTTTAATATGTCTGCTACCAAAAATATACAATTTTTATCTGAAATTTTTAATAATTAATGCATAATACATTTTAGATCTTGGCTGTGATTTGTTCTTTTTATATGTCATTGATTTTTGTCATGAACATTTTCTAGAATATATGTAAGTTATTATTGTCTGTTGGGAGCCAGGGGTGTACAAATAATTCCGCTGGCTCTCAACAGAGAGATTAAATTATTTTACATTGTTATGTTATTTATGTTATTTGTAGTTATTTGTTTATGGTATGTTAATGTATTGTTATATTTTATACAAATGTGAGTCGTAAGGCGATTTTTATGCCTTCCTTTTATTTGTGCATGACGATAAAGAAATTCAAATTCAATTCAATGATATAATATTTGTCTTCTCCCTGGTAGACATGGGTGTGGATGAGCTTCTTGCCATCCTTTCTTCTCCAGAGGTCTCAGACGAAATCCTTCTGCTGAACACTGGTCTAGAAGATGATGATGAGAAAGAGAATAAGGAGCTTCTAGCTGAGCTCACTCAAGGACTCGATGCTTTAGGTCAGTCTAAACATCTCCATCATTTGAATAGAATCGTACATTCCAAACCTTCATTTTCTTTTGTTTATTTTATCACTTTCGAGAAAACTTTTGCCTTGTAGCAAATTTGGTTTAATTTATTTAGAACTTTTTGTAATTAACATGTGTTTGCATGAATTAATGTTTCTATTGTCAAGATATTATTTCATGAGTGTTTTGAATATTGCTAACGACTCAAACCAAAAAAAATCGAGCTGGAAAGCTATCTCTTTTGTTTTCCAACTATTGTCTGGTTTAGGCTTTGTCACCTCTTTGTCTCAAGTTTTTTTTAAACTCTATGTGGTTTAGAATAATGGAGCTATGAAACTTTTTATATTGTTTATTTATTTATTTATTTACTTGTTCATTTAATGTATTAAAAAACAGGATAATACATCTCTGTGAGATAAAACAAATTCAAATATAAAATGAAATACAAACAAAAAGTTTTCCAGGTTTTCCAAATCAACAACATCAGCAATGATGACAACATTTCTACATAATATATAAGATAGAACCTGAAGGTACAATAAAAGAAACAAGAGAAGAAGAAGTGGGATGAAAGAAAGAAAGTAGCTATGCTGGAGAAAAGCAGCTTTGCATACCGTACTTACTTTACCTGTGTCTACTAACATACAGAAAAGTCAAGCCATGGGGGTGGGGGGGGGGGGGATTTTGGACACGGTTAATCGTCTCAAAATAACGTATGAACGAGGATCAAGTGAGTTTTTGCCTCTTTCTGTCCTAAATCAGGTCATATTCCGGAGTACGAAGCAGACCCTCCGCCTCCAGCGCCGATCACAAAGAAGGTCACCAAGATAACCCTCAAGAAGAAACCAAAGAGACGCAAGAGGGCGACAAAGCGGAAGAGGGCCTCTGCTCCTTCCCCTGCGCAACCCCCTGCCCCAGCGCCAGACTTGGACACGGGCCTCCGGCGCAGTAGCCGTGGTGCCAAGCGCACAAAAGTTTACATGTGAGTAATTTGATATATAAGTCTGTAATTGTTATCAAAGATAAAGTTGAGTTCTGGTCATGGGATTGCATAGTGAAAGAAACGTTGTGGAATCGATCACAAAAGGTTGATCATCTAGCATATAGGAATTGGTCTGTACTACAAGATTCAGGAATCATCAAAATGATTAGAAATTTGGCCCAGTATTGGTAAAGTTACAAGCACTGTACACAGAAAGATGTATATGGGACTACACAAACATGTGGCATAAAAATCTGTCCCGATTTTTATGCTTTTACATGTACATGCAATATATTTAGAATATTACGGCATTTGAAGAGCCATGCTTTTCAGGGAACATGTTTTATCTGATATTCTTCCACACTTGCATAATACAATGATATCGTCACAAATTATTGTTCACCACTTCCCAGAACTCAAAACCTTCTCTTTAAAGGTAAAGACCAGTAATGGTCATGCGATTGCATTGTGAAAGAAACGTTGTGGAATCGATCAGAAAAGGTTGATCATCTAGCATCTAGCATCTGCAAGGTTCTGGAATCATCAAAATGATAAGAAATTTGGTCCATTCTTCGTAAAGTTACAAGCACTATACACAGAAAGATGTATATGGGACTGCCCTATATCTCTCACACGACCATGAGAGAAACAAATTTACCAAATATATGAATTAGTAGGCGGTTTCCCAGCAAATTTTTTATCATCATGTATTAGTCAAAACATATTCTTTCACATGATCGGTAATGAGAGCTTCCATTTCATTTTTTGAAATTGGGGCGTTACCAATACTGGTCTTTACCTTTAAGGACTTATTAGAATGTAATAATAGAATGCCAGTTGCTTTACAAGTAGAATTTCCTCAGTATTTTGCTGAGGATTATGTTCCTGCAGCATCTTGTTTTCTTCAGAAAGAAGTGGTAATTTATATCACAAAAACCTTTTGAAAATATTGTATCGTAATTTTTTGTTCTTTATTAGTGGTCAATTTTTATTCAGACATTCATGCATACATAGAGAAATGGGAAGAAGCTTGCAAAAAAGGGAAACACGGTAGGTTGGTACATGTATTTGCACACACAAATATTGGATCCTATGCAACGTACGGCATGGAATGAGATGGCAAACGATGTGCACTTGGTAAAACAACCAAGCAATCCACTGATGAAGGAGGACCCCAAGGGAGATATATAATTGAGGGAAGATTTATAAACTGATATTGAAGTGAAATAAAGTCTTATGTTGATGGACAGTTATTAATCATTTGTGTGGTTGCCAACTTCTGTCAAGATTCATTATACGAAAATGCTGGTCAGATTCTTTTAATCTTTCATTAAGGTGGATGTTATAAGTCATCTCTCTCTCTCTCTCTCTCTAAGTGACATATGGATTGACTTTGGCGATCATGCTGTTCCACAACCCTCGGTTCCTAGCCTTTTGTAATAGTACCACTCCCAGTTCTTTCGCTCTTCTCTCTACCAACAATTTCTGCAGACTTTCCATCCAAAGTGTCCTTCTTCCCCTACTCCTCCTTCCCACAATTTTCCTTGTCATAGCAAGATTCTCTAGGCCTTCTTTACGTGTAATGTGACCCGTGAACTTCAACTGCCTAAGTCGTAACAAAGGGAAAATAATTATCTACATGAGTGTATACTAAAGGAAGATAAAGCATATATCTGGTTGTTGTTAATGATGTAGGAAGAAAAGCTACATGTAAAATTTATTTTTAGGGATATCGAAAAAAGGTAAAACAAGAATTTGATTTTTATAAATGTAATGCTTCCTGGGAGAAATTTCAATTATTAAATATATTTACTGGGTGGAATGCCACAAATATATTTAATAAAAGAATTTGATTGTCGATGATATTCATGTTGGGTATATTATTATTTTGATTGGCAGTAGTGAAGATAGCCAGGATCAGGAGGATGCTGATGATGTTGAGGAGGAGTATGAACCAGAGATCACATCGTCATCAGAAGAGGAGATTGTTGAGATGGTAGATGAGGTCATCGACCCTCAGGGTGCCGTACAGCAGGCCACCTTACCTCGAACAGACGACGCCTGGGTGACAGCAGGTCTCCTGGCGTACAAGCTCTTTGTCCTGGGTCTGAACGAAGGCGCAAAACCTGTCCTACAGAGGCTCAAACCAGACATCCTGGAGTGTAGTCAAGACGTCATCCATCGTGGTCTGATCCAGTTCGTCCGCGACGCCCGGCAACCAAACGGCCAACCCTACCCTCCGGAAACCCTCCTCCTCATCTACATCTCCATCCAGCGACACCTCACCGACAACGGTCGCCTGGACAACTTCCTAGCCGGCCCCAACTACGATCAGTTCCGGAATTGCCTCCACATGGCGCTTGCCCCGTGGGTTCCGACCGTGCACCCCACCACCGGTCTCCTCCTGAACTCCCGCATCAACGAGGAGATGATGTGGGCCTCGCAGCAGTTGGGGGCGCACTCGCCGCACGTCCTGCTCAGTACCATCTTCTTCTTCAACTGTCGAAACCTGAGGATGAGGTCGGTGGCGGAACATTCCAAGCTGGCTTTCTTTCGCATGCAGAAGTTGGTGAAGAAGGCCCCGGTCCCCAGCGGGAAGGTCTCCCTTCTACGCTACTTTCCACCCAAGAAGAAGAATGGTGAGTTCTATGCTTTGTGAGATGTCACATGGTTTGATGAATGAATAGAAATGAGGTAGACTGGTTTATCATAGCGATGATGATGGTGATCTTCTTTTGAAGATTTATACAAGAAGAAAAAAAGGCTGACTGTTTGTACAATTATTACCTGGCTTTACAATGACTGCCTTCAGGATTATGATAACAAAACTTTTATTTCAACTTTTTAATGGAGTTCATAAAATTGTTTAAAGGGTTTTTTTTCTGTCAAAATTGTTTACAGTAACACCCTCAGCGACTGGCATATCTAGGCATTATGGTGCACGAAGCAAACAATGAAATTGGGGTATTTTTTTGCATTATTAAACCTATAAAACACAATTTCCTATGCATTTTACCCATGAAATATAAAGTCGCCCTCTGACGTGCTATTCATGTTGTTATGTACTTTGCAGAGGCTGAGGCAGGGAAGAAGGGTGCTGTGCTGAACATCGGAAACCGTAAGAAGAGGGAGTATGATGCAGAGACCCTTGATCAAAGCGAGAACACTGAGAACCCACTCAGATGCCCTGTCAAGCTCTATGAATTTTACCTCTCCAAATGGTGAGAATATTCACTTTTTTTAAAGCCCCACTGTACTACTTATAGCTACTTGCGCCCTCTATATAGCAAACAATGTCTAATCGGTGCCTGTTGGTCCCCTATGAGCCCCTTTTTCTTATGTTAATTGAGAGCTGATTTGATGAGATAACCACCTGTCAGTGACCTTCCTGGGTGGTCTAATCACTCTTAGCCGAACTAGTTCAGAGGGGCTTTAAGCATTTGAGAGGTCGAAAGGCCCAGTTTAGTACCAACCTCAATTTGCAGGGTATAATCTACAATTATGATGTGTAGTAAAATCTCTACCTGAGTTAAAGGGATTGGTATCTTTGCCTCGGATTCTGAAAAAAATCCCGGATTTAGCTCATGCTGCAATCATAATTATAAACCTTTAGGTCAGTCAGGAATCCCATGACTTTTACAAGCCAATCGCCTGTCTGATTATCAAGATAGTTATGATTGGAAATCAAAATTTAAAAATTTGTTCTTAATTTTTTGAGGCACTTCATGATCATTTTGAAGCACAATTCTTTTAGGGCTTGAATGTAACACAATATCACAGACACTGATAACACGTAGGGCCATGCATCTCGATTTTAACATTGTTAAGCGATGCCTTTAAGCATTTGAGAGGTCGAATGGCCCCAGTTTAGTACCAACCTCATTTTGCAGTGTGTAATCAACATTTATGATGTGTAGTTAAATCCCTACCTGAGTTGAGGAAATTTATAACTGATACAATCTTTCAGGCATGATGCCACAAACCACCTCAGAAAACTTTGTGTGGAAATGGGTGGCAGGAGGCAATACTTCAGGGTTTTAATATACAAATAATACACAGCAGAGAGGGCATTAGTAAGAATTACCCACACAAGGTACCTACGGAACAGTCTAACACGCCCGAGGCGATAGCCGAGGGTTTTTGGACTGTTTTAAAGGTACCTAGTGTGGGTAATTTTACTAATGCCCAAACAAAATGATGTGTATTATTTGTTTTATAAAATGATATTTTATAACATGATTTTACTAATGATCGGTCATAAGTATTTACTAATGACCAGTTATTAGTAAAATTACTTGTTAGGCAAAATAAATGCCTGGTCACGTGTACGCTCTGAACCAATCATTTGATTAGGATCTGCTTCATCATCTTATAAACACAAATATATGCAAAAATATATTTGTTTGTTATTTTTTGTGTGCACTTTACTCCCTCAAATCTGTAAATTCCTCTAGCTTCTTATTTGTGTTTACTATGTCTTCCTTTCCTCCTCCTCCATGCAGCCCTGAGAGCATCAAGATGCGCAACGAGATCTTCTACCTCCTCCCGGAGCACTCCTGCATCCCGGACAGCCCCGTCTGGTATTCCGCCACCACGCTGCCCGACGAGGAGGTGGAGCGGATGCTGCGGCGCTATGGCATGATCCAGGAGGTCCAGGCAGGGTGGCAGCAGAAGATGAAAGAAGAGGAGGAGGAGAGGGCAGCAGAGCGCGAACGAGAGAAGGAAGGAGCAGGTGATGAAGGAGGAGACAGAGGTGGAGTGGACAAAGCCTCGGTTGAGGGGTCATCGACGGAGCAATCCACTGATGAACAAACCAAATGATGAAAGAAGAGGAGGAGGAGCGGGCAGCAGAGCGTGAACGAGAGAAGGAAGGAGGAGGTGATGAAGGAGACGGAGATGGAGCAGACAAAGCCCTGGGTGAGGGGTCGTCTACGGAGCAATCCACCGATGAACAAACCAAATGAAGATGTCATCATCTGAACCAAAAGTCCCTGAAGTCTCGTTCCTCCAGATTGGAATACGTGTTTATAACAATTTCACATCTCAAGACCGCTATACCAAATGTTAGCGTCAGATCAATACCTGTAAAGCCTTGTTGACGTATGTGTCTGTAAAGTATAATACGCTTCACACTCCTTTATCTACACATAGATAGTGAGCACATGGGGTAGTGGGTACAGAGATGCCAACCCTCCCGATTTTATCGGGAGGCTCCCGATAATTCACCCCAACTCCCGACCTTACGATCACCATCCTTATCCTCCCGATTTATTAAAAAAAAAAAAAAAAAAAAAATGATTTTTTTTTTTTTTTTTTTTTTTTTTTTTTTTTTTTTTTTTTTTTTTTTTTTTTTTTTTTTATTATGATTTTTTTTGGAGGGCGCTTATCAGTATATATATCTGTGAATTGAAAGAGAAATATCATCTGCTAACTTAAGCATGTAATAATTCCACTATGTTAAAAGACAAATTAAGAGTAGCGAAAGATTGTTTCAGCATATGGATCGCCGTAACCAATGCGTGGATATTGCCACAGAATCCAAATGGCGGAAAATCAGCAAAATAAGACCAGGAAATGGTCTCGGAAGTATAAGACCGAATACAGTATCAAGTACCTGTGTAATCGGAAGTCTGAAAGTAATTCATCATGCATTTTGTACAATTTTTATGTTATTTAAAAAAAAAGGGGGAATTATTTAACTAAATACACATGTAAAATGCTCCAAAATAAGGCTCAGATTGCACCAGAGAGCATCTAGAACCCCAGAGCTTCCAGGGCCCTAAGGCGGGCCCTGGACCCCGGCCGCATGTGTCGGGCGCTACGCGCTCGAGATGTGCGCTACGCGCACATTAATTGGTGTCGATTACAAATCCTCCCTATTTCTGATTTCCAAAAGTTGGCATCTCTGTGGGTAGCTCCATTGTTGATACATAAAACTTCCATTGGTTGGGGTAATAACTACAGTTAAACCTGTCTATAGCGACCACCCAAGGGAAACACAAAAAGTGGTCTTTGTAGACAGGTTCCTTCAGTACATGTTTCAATGAGAAACCATTTTTAAAGGAAACAAAAAATGTGGTCTTTGTAGACAGATGGTCTTTGAAGACAGGTGGTCACTAAAGCAGGTTTGACTGTATCACCAATCTTCACTCCATTGATTTTGAAGCAGCAGTAGCAAGTAATTATGTGAAGATTCACTGGACTTGAGAAATTCCACAGGAGTGAATGAAGAAGGCTAAACTACATGTTAGGACCAATTGCTGCATGCCTAAACTTCTTTCCATACTCAATTGTTAGTATTCATTAAGGAAAACCTGCTGAAGTTTCCCGTCTCAAATGTGATCGAGCAAAAAGGTGCATTCATTATTTTCATGGAGTTCTTCACGATAGTAATCCCACATTCACAATGAATATTTTTTTTTGGGGGGGGGGGGAAATCAAAAATGCATTTTTAGTGGATTTTGATATGATTGATAATAAATAGTAGTAGCTATTATATACCTCTATTTCGTGAAGTAGGCAACTTGACAATCATTCCCGATCACTACATAACACTGAGCCAATTGGTATTACGCTCCTATGTGTACGTCTGTGTGCTGCCCTCTATATACCCACGCTTGAGCAACTTTAAATCCTAGTACTTGTATTTGTGGAATACCTCCAACAGTGCAGGGCAAGAAATCAAGCTTTTCCTCTAATCGCTTTGAAACTCAAACATTCATTTCACATTACATTGCAGTATTAGTAAAAAATTTAATATTTAGAGTCGCTGTCATTGTGATGTCAAAGGTCTTGTCAAAGGCAAAACTAGATGGATTAAGGGAATAGTACATTGTTAGTGTTTATATGTGTTGATTTTAGAATGTCTGTAGTTGTATAGCAAGGTGTAATATGCTCTTATTGTATTGTGTATTCATTGATATTGTATAGCATCAGTGTAAATATCATCTGTATGATATTGTGTCTTTTGTTGTTTTCCTTCATTTTATTGAAGACTTAAATACTTCTAAGGATTAAGCCATGCTGACTTTTGATAACATCAGTTTTATGTGTAACATGTTGAGGACATGCCTGATAATGACAAAGGTAGTCTGCAGATAGACAAGAAATTGAAATGTTCGAGTTCGAAATTTAGAAAATAAACTTGAGCTAGTTGTCCGACATATGTGGATGACATGTACATACACTCCAATTTGCGTTGTGTCTTTCAATGAATTATTTCATGTCTTCCAGTAAATAGACCAGTTTACTAACATATTAAAATTGTAAGCATACTCTTTGATCAAAGATTGTTCTTGACAACCTGAAAGCTTGCCTGAGGCTTACCTGACATAGCAACATGTAAGGTATGCACACCGGATTGTATTGTAATCCATTCATGAATAAGAAGTAAATTGAATAACTCATCACAAGGTCCCCAGAAAGAAACATCCATACATTTGAATATGTTAGTAAACCGGATCTATTAATACAGTAGCTGCCAACAATTTTTACTATGGATTCTGACTATAGTATTTTTTTCTTGGATTCCTTTCCCAATGCACTCATGTGATCATAACTCAACTTTATCTAATCTATGATTACCACACAACAATTAGTTTACGTTAGGATGCACATATCCAACATAATGCCGTATATGTGGGAATGGGAACCTCCTAAAGACAAGAAAATATTTGGACCAAAATTTGATTTACTTGCGATACCAAATCTGAGTTGTTTTGAGGCAAATCAATGCAACACGTCCTTCTAAAAGGAAGTCTTTCTTCCATATTTAAAAAAATAATAAATGAGCCTTGAAAAAAATGTAGAATTTGCCACTGATTCACTTTATAATTCAATAATATTGTAAGGAAATTGTTTGGTGCATCTTGAATGTCACAGGTACAGAACAGGTACAGTTCTTGTAAAGAAATGCTTGACTATCCATAAAGACCTGCATGACACAGGAAATTTATAATTAAGAGTTCTGTGTATAATTCAGAGAATGCTTTTAGTTCCTGGGAGGAGCAATGCAAGGGGATCTACCATTTGCAAGAACCACCCCCGCTGCCAGCTGTGTGTCTGCTTGTGAGGGCTACCATGGAGTCTTCCCCAGCTTTGAGGCAGATTTCAGCTTTGCCATCGCGGTACACCCTGATCTGCTCGCCCGTGCAACCGTCGTTGGTCGGGTCTCCGCCGATCAGATCACAGTAGGTGCCCTCAGGAAGGCCGGTCTGCTGCCAGGAGCACTTGTCGTAACTTTCGTTGCTAAGCGCGAAGAAAGCCCTGTTGCCCCTGGAGAAAGAGATGAAGTTGTCGCTCGGTGCGTCCCAGTTGGCGACGGGAGCGGAGCCAGCGGCGTTACGGAAGCACGCCATGTTGCGAATCTGTTTCCAGCGATGTTCGCAGACCCAGTCACCCATGCAGGAGGAGTCGTGGTTGAACTGCGGAGACAACGTGTTGCCCCAGTCACCAGATGGAGGTCCCTGATCAGGGTTACTGAATTTGTAGGAGCTCATGATCCTCGCAGTTCCGTAGTTCCAGGCTAGAGCAAATGCTGTGGCTTTCTTGTAAGCTGCTCCTTGGTTGAAGTGCACAAGGCTGCCCCCACCACCGTGTCCTCTCTGGTTATCATGGTTGTCAACGAAGACCAAAGCTTGTGAGGAACCAAGCAAACCCCAGGGTTCTCCAAAGTTTTGGAAGTACTTCAGTGCAGTCTTTCCGTTGGCCAGCTCGGCCATCTTGAGGCAGAATTTGAACTCAGTCACGTCACCGTTGCCTGTGTATTCAGATGAGGAGATAGGTTCATCCTGACTCACCGCTATGACTTCCTGGTAGATGTATGGACGATCACCAAAAGTGCAATCAAGCAAACTGAATATAATGAGAAACACGTGTGGAGATTGAAACATAACGCACTTCTACCTATTAAATACACTCTACCATTTTTATCCTGTTTATTTAAAAAATTACATATAAATATGTATATAAATTTCCCTCTAAAATTGACCAACAAGTCAACTTTCAGGCTCTAATCACCTTATGAGCTCGCACAATTCAACTACTGAAAGTGCCTCGTCTAACCAAAAAAATAATGTGTCTTAAAAAAGAAGTGATCACATCATCACACCAAAAGTGTCGTCGGCATGGGCGTAAATCCTTCCTTACGTAATACCTAATGTTTAGGGGGGTGGGGATGAATAAATAGATCATCCCCCCTGAACAATAGGTATTACGTAAGGATTTACGCCCATGCCGACGACGCACCGGTCCAAACCTACTGATTCTTGTCCACTTCAGGTAATGTAATTTTTGATTGGTCTGGTGGTGGCCTCTTTGTTCTGACTTGGGTGCCACTCGCACCACCAAACCAATAACACATCGACTCTAAACCAAATGATTCTTGGCCACTGGAGGCTATGTAATTTGTTTGTTCGGTTTGTTAAGCATCTATTGAAGTGGGATGGTTGCTGTCTAGGTGTGACTGAGATGTCATTCCTTTCTTTCTCACCTGTTGACGATTTTCTGAATCTCCAACGGGTGCATGTGCTTCGCAGCGTCGATCCTGAAACCCGCAACACCGAAACTCAAGAGCTTGTTGAGGTAATTGACCACATGATTTGTTGTGTCTTCCCTCGAGAAATCAAGATCGTCCAGGCCATTCAGGTTACAGTACCTGACTTCATCTGCATTGTTGTAATCTTTTATTTGGCCACCAGCTCTTTTACAGTTGCCATTGGGCACGTTGAAGTTATCCCAATGGTATGGCACATCTTTGAAGTAATAGCTGTTATCTGAAGAAAAAAAATGATATGAAAGTAATGCATTTACATTTCTAAACAATCTTAGACAGTATACATACAGGTGTAGTATAGTATGTGCATAAAAGTTAATTGCTAAAGGGTCAAAGGTCCTTTGTTTATTTGATCCCATTTTTAGATAGACTATTAGATTAGAGAGAGAGAGTCAGAAGAAATGGCTTGGACACATAATGCGGCATGATGAGGGCTTGATGGTCAGAGTCATAGAAGGTCTTATTCATGGAAAGAAAAAGAGGGGAAGACCTCGTAAACGCTTTCTAGATGATGTAATCACACAATGTGGAAGCAACAGGGTATGAAACGATGAAACGGTTGGCTCAAGACCGAGGAACTTGGAGAGAAACTTGGAGAGACACTTGATATAGAATTTTGAATGGGTCACTGAACCTGTCATAAACTGACAGATCACTATTGATGATGACCAGTGCCCAATTTGTGTACTACTGGGTTCAAGCAAAGTGAAGTATTTAAAAGAAAAATTAGATTAAAAAAAAAAAATTGATAACAAATACTTTTGAAGGTTATTTCAGTAGCCTTGTGCATCACCTATTGAAATTTGCAAACATGATAACGACATACACATGTATTTCACAAACCCGATAGATTTCTATGAGACATGCAATAGGGTAGACATTGCCCTTGAGTAGATTTTTCAGGAGGCTGGTTCGAGGCCCGGCCCCCCCCCCCACTCAGTGTTATTTAGGGTACGCATATGCTCGTACCCTCTTTTTGAAAGCACCCCCTATCTGAGGACTGCCAACATTTCCGAACCCCCCTTTCGTGGGCTTTTCGCGGGCTTTTCCTGCCTTGGAGACCCCCCTAAATCAGGAAAATTTCTCAATGTACCCCCCTAAATTTGGAATAATTTCTCAGGAGTCCAAAGAGATGAGAGAGAAAAAGAAAAACACCCCCTTTTTAAAGAAATCTCCGGGTGAAAAGTCAAATACACCCCTTTTTTTACAAATCTCGGGCCGGACTTTGTCGCACGAAAAGTACCCCTTTACCGGACATTTTGGCAACACGCATGCGGTCATTCCGACCTCTGAGTGGGGGGGCCGGGGTTCGAGGACAAACATTCCCTGGTTCCGGAGGATCCGCCACGGCTATCTTCCCTCGGAAACCTACCCATGTAGGAGTATTAAGGAAATTTACCCTAAGCAACACCTTACTATCCACAAGGACAACTTCCTCAGGACGATTACATGCCCCTTGGGACAATAAGCCCTCAGGACATCTTCCTCTCTGATCTAGGAATGCACCACCCTATGATCATTATAGCCCCACTCCCCCTCCTCCCTCCCTCCCAGAATAATTGCCCCGGACAACTACCTCTATGGTAGCCATTTTCCTAGGACATCTACTCCTAAGGTCAAGGTAGTTCGTCCAGAGTAATTGTCATGGGGGAGTTTTCTGGGGGTAGTTTGGGGCTAATTGTCCTTGGGGGTATTTTTTCTGGGATAGTCGTCCGGGATAGTTTTCTTGGACAGTTGGAGACGACAATCCAGTGGGTAACCGACCTGATACGATACAAGAATGATGTCCTTACCATTGGCCATGTGATTGATGACGGCATCAACATAGATTCGAACCCCGACCCTGTTGCACCTGTCCACCATGTCCTTAAACTCCTGCTCTTGACCACTGCGACTGTTGATGCGGTAGTCGACGGGTTGGTACCGCTGCCACCAGGGGAATTTGTTATTGGAATCAACGATGTATTTGTGTTCATTGGGAGGGGAGACCTGCACCCCGGCAAACCCGTAAGGCCCTAGGAAACTGTTTGGTGAACGAGGTGAAGGAAGAGAGAAAGAAAGAGAGAGAGAGAGAGAGAGAGAGAGAGAGGGGGGGGGGGGGGGGGGGGGGAGGGGGGGGGGGAGAGAGGAAGAGGGGGTGGGGGGGGGGCAGAGCCGGGAGAAATATTGGTGATAACGGAAGAGAGTTGGGTGATGGGGTTTTTTTTAATTTTGTTTAAGGGAGCGGTGAAGAGGGCAATGGGGTAAGGTGGGAATGGTTTGGAGGAGAGAGATCTCAGCTTATTATGAATTAACGATCACCCATGGGTGACATCTCAACGCGTTTTGTATCAAATTGAAAAGGTGATATATAAATTAGTACTATATCATTGACATTGTCAGTGATTGTATTGACATTTTTAGTAATATTATAATTATCATCAATTCCTTGATAAGAAGTTATTCCATTAGTCATAATGAGATGAATACGCACTTTACAAAAACATATCACAGAAAGTAGGACTATCGCAATATGTCCATGGCGCCACCCACCATTAGTAATTTTTTTAAAAATGATATCGAACTCCCTTTTTTCGAACTACCGGTATTTTCCGGGTTTATCTAAAAAAGCAGAAGTTATTCTATTATACAGACGATTCTTCTCAAAAGTATCAACATTTATTACTCCTCTGTTTCGATCCTTCCAAGAATTTGTCTTAGAAAGACATGTTTATAACATGACTGCTTTTAACTAACTATATCTAACAAAATATATTTTAAAATAGCGGTGTTAGATGTTTCTTTTCAGGGGTGGGGTGTCAAGCCTCCTGCAACCGCCCCCCCCCCCCCACTTTTTATCAAGCCATAAAAAGCACATGTCTGATGATAATCCGACCTTGTGGATTTGTATCAATAAACTTGAAACATGTAGTAACAACAGAATACAAGAATACCAAACCATTCAAGCCCCGCCCCCCGCCCCCCGCCCCCCGCCCCCCGCCCCCTGAAAAAAAATCGACAAAAAAATCTTCCATAATCGCTCCTGGCATGCGCTTTGCGAAAAAAAAAAATCATATAGTTGGAAAATGATCTTGCAACCATTCGAATCTGCTTTACCTTTCACATTCATTGGCGATGTCTGGCCACTTCCACTCGAACAGATGGACGATTACAGAACGATCCCCCACGAAGTTTGGATCGGAGAGTCCGGCCTGGGCGCCGACCGCCGCGACGAGAAGGACAACGAGACGAAGCATCGTTGCAGAATCTGCGAAATAACCACGATATAGATTAGTTTCACCGATAACCCATCTAGGTTTAAGACAAATCTCAGTGGTTTGACCGAATTACTAATAACCGACCTTAAAACCGCAATATTAGAACAATATATAGAACAAAAGCAAATGTAGAAGGGGTAGTCAGAAATTAAAGAGATAAAATTTGTCGTTGACTTCCCTCTGGCTAACAACGGGCTAACAAAATCTCCTATTAGGTAACCGTTAATAGAGGAAAACAAATTATATTATATATCTAAATGATCTGAATTATCATCAAACATAGAACTAGATTACGCATGCATTGTGAAAGATGTCCCAAACTGTTTAAAAAAAAACTGTAAGTCAAAAAGAAATATGATGATTTGGCACTTCACTGTCTTGTTTGCAAATAACCATAGATTAATAAGGCAATAATGTTATTGTTTGTGCATATAAATTATTATCCTACCGAAGTTCCAAAAAAAAAAGAATACTAATTAAGAATTGAGGTTAAAAGGCTTTTTACGAATACCAGTATTTAGATTAACTAACTGAAATTAACTAATTTATAAAATAACTAAAACTGACAGGTTCTGGCCTTTTGTTTTAAAACAGATAAGTTAGTCTGAGGCCTAAGTTTTCCTTTTGGTTAAAAGTGATTTAAAACCCAGTGTCAGGTTTTAACGGATGAGTTTCGAAGATTTTCAGCACTTACCAGATCTGATGGCGTCTTCGACAGGTCTAATATGAGCTGAGATGACTGTCACCCGTCTTCGACAGGCCTGTGAGCTGATATCACGAGAATGACAACTCATAGATAAATCCTAGCTCTATTTATCTATGTTTTTGTATACGGGGCTGCACACCTAGATAAGAAACGGGTCAACATTTGGTAGGATCAATGTTGACCTGTTTCTGATCTAGTTGTGCACCCCCGTATATCAACACAACAATGAATAGAGCTATATGATTAATCTAAAAGAAAAGTACTAGTTACTAGTTTCAGGGGCGGAGTTTCTTTGTTAAAATATTCATCAAAAAGTCTTTTACAAAAATAATGAAAAATAGAGATCCCACTTTAAGACTGTTTGCGAACGTGCTTTTATAAAACTGAGGAACATTTTTTTTTTAATCACCTAACGTGAATTCTTAACTTTATAACTTCGGAATATAATATATGTATCATTTTAGCTAAAAGGTAGCATAAATGATCCCTGTAAAGATATTTAGACATGGGCAAGACAAACAAACAAAACATGAAAAGAACTGACCAAAATAGCCTGTACTTGCATTTTGTTTTATGTCAGTGGGAGGGGGTCTCAAAAAGGAAATTGGAAGACTGGGCATCATTATGCTCCTAGCTTTTATGCTGAATACGCCACTCCACCCCAAACATTCATTTTGGGCATTCCAATAATCCAGGCAACCACGACATGTGTCTGCTATTTATTTTGTTTCCCCTCGGTCGATATAACATTGATGTTTCTTGTAGCAAATTGACTGAGGATAAACATAACGAATATTCCGTTATTAAAAATATACACAGGTGGAGCCTTTGTTGAAAAGTTTTATTATTTTTAGTCTAGTCTAATTTATTGTGTAGTTCCAATATTTATACTGACGTTTTTATGTAAAGCGCTGTGAAACAACAGTTAGTTCGTAAGAGCGCTATAGAAATGACTTTATTGTATTGTATTGTATTGCATTGACGTTCAAATTAAATCCTCATGCTTTTGTGCAACATAAATTAATTTTCATTTCACCATCTTACTCGTCTTTAAGTTTTCCTTTTATAGTATAGAATGATATAGGCAATATCTATAGATTGACCAATCGGGATCCAGGTTTCATCAATTGGAGTTTTTGATTGGTTAACCCTTTAGGGAGATCATTGCCCAATGAAATTCCAAATGCTTGTTGTTCGGGACCATAGAGATATATACTACTAACATAACTTATTAAGTATATATCTCTATGTTCGGGACTTAGCTTAATATTAGAAAGAAGACATCCCGGAGGTCATGATGTAATCAGCACCTCATTTTCAATTTATCGTAAAAGTAGTCTTCTTCTTTTTTTTTGCAACGATGCATGCATTTATTGTCCAATACTGCATAATATTAACTTCTTTACGAACAATTAAATTGTCAATGTTTAACCATGGTTTAACCATACACATTGTAATGATTGACAGCGCTCTACCTGACCATTACCATGGCAACTCATTGGCAATTACTCCTTTTGTTTGGCAACATACATATGGTACTATTTGCATATAGGCCTATGCACATAACATGGACGCGCTGAATTAACACATTGATTATTTTATTTACTATTATTCTCAATCATAATTCATTTTACACTCAATCTCTTCAAATGTTTTACGATGGGCGACCATCATTTATACACAAAAAGGTGTTTCTTATTTAGGTGCTCCTGAAGAAGATCAAATTAATGTTTATCTTGAAAATACAAAACAATTATATACCGTTTAGTGTAAGGAATCGCGTGATATTGGAATGAAAAAGTCGTTAACATTAAAAAAAAAAAAAAAAACCCACGTTGGTGTCGCGTAACCGTACAGTGACATGTGTTCAATCATTTTTATTCAGTGGTGTCCCCCAACCCCCAAATCACTGAAAACGAGACAAAATTTATAAATCCCTCCCTTGTCTCTTCGATAATGATATAGGCCTGTATAAGGCCAAATTAAAAAAAACATGTTTAGCGTCCTGTTTTTTTCGAAAAATATGAAGGAGGAGGCCTTTTTGTTTTGTTTTTTCTTTCAAAATGGCCGCTCAAAATGGCCATACGGTACATTTTCCCTGACACTCCCTGACAGTCTAAAATACTGAAGAACTGAAATGATAACTAGACGTTGTTGACCCAAATGTTTACATTGAAACGGAGAGCATGCGAAAGAATGCTTTTTTGGCGCTTAGTTGCATTCTAAATATTAAACAAATAATACGACACAAAAAAAAGCGTTGGGGGAGGGGGCGGCAGTGGCGGATCCAGGGGGGGGGGGGGGGATCGGGGGGCCCGCCCCCCCCCCCCCCCTGGAGAAAAAAAACGTGTAGAAACACGTGATGTTTAGCTTTTTGGGGGGATGCCCCCCCCCCCCCCGGCGGTCAAGCGAAGAAGCCAGTAAAGAAAACGACTGAGGGGTGCAAATTTTCAAATTTTCGAGGGCCAAAAAAAAAAGATATATGTTCACTACCAACAAAGACCAATAATAATTCATATTATCCCCATTTGAAATCGATCTGGGAAAAAAATTGTTCAATTTCATCATGTAGAGTTTGTTTTTTTTAAACAGGAAAACACACACACAAAAAACACTGATAGCTGGCCAACAAAATTAGAGTGAAATAGAGCCCTCTATCGACACTTGCGTGTCCATTCCGCGCGACATTTTTGCATGTTTGGCGGGGAAGAAATCCATTGTTCTCGGCAGAAGACCAGCCTAATTTTTCAGCTTTCCTGGGACCTCTGCACCTAAGAACACTCACAAACATGGCAGAGAAGGACAATGGTATGAGGATCGTTATATTCATATGTATTTTTATTTATAAGATTTCTTAAATGAGGGAGGATAAAGCACGAAAGGCACACAGTTATATGTTTAACGGGACAGTGACACTACTGACACAGTGTAACATGTGACCAATGCCATTGACTGTACACATATCTCCGTCACGTTACGGATGCGGGGCGCGGGATGGACCGCTCAGCCGGTGGTGGCCGAGCTTGCTGTCTCGCCGTTTCGGACGAGCTGCTGCTACTGCACTGCCATGCTAGGACTTAGTGAAATTAATAAATCCTGTGGCTGTGACCTGTGTAATACTAAAACTAATAGCATCACAATGGATACACTGTTTTGTAATCGAGTTAAACATGTAGAGTCTAGACTCTATCAACAGGTTCGCGTGAATCCTATCTGCCGACGTGTTAAAATTACATTTTTCATCATGGCACTGTGGCTACATTTCACAAGATTTTCACTAAATTTGTGTCTCTAGGCCTAGAGGTCTACTCAATTATATTAAAATTTGAGATAGAGTCTATCAACAATTCACTTCCTGAAATGATCGCGAAACCTGCATTTGATGATATTTTTCCAGAGCGTCAATTCACACTGAGCATCCCATGGACGTCGCCATCTTGAAAAAAGTGACCCTAAATCATGGTCAACTTCCGGTTCAATTTTTCACTCTAACCTTGTCATTATGACGTTTTACCAAACGAAATTTTGCACAGGGCAGCTGTATATAGAGTAAAGGAGCCCGTTTTCGGCCACTTAAGACAAAATCCTATTTTTAGGACTCTTTACTTCCTATTTATTATCATTTCTTGTTCAAATCATGAAGCAAATATTATTATTTAAACAAAAAAAGAATCCCAGAAAAAAATCACGAATAGCCATGACAATATTCATTTCAATTTTCACTGTTTTGGAGCCAGTTATCGGCCGAACGTTTCAGTTTACGGCCGCATGTACAAAGTCAATAGGAAGCACTCGCGCGCGCCGTGCGTTTCCGCGCTGATGTACAGCACAAGCGGGCGGAGCAGGTATCCCACGCCGGAGCTCCCTGGTGCTCGCCTGGCCGAAGACAGGCACAGCGGTGATCGGAAGTTGGAATCTGAATTAGACAGAGATATCGTGTGTGCGTCGCGGTGTGCGGCTGCATTGATTTAATACATGGGATGAGATACTTTTGACCTTGCGACTAGCACAAAATCGGGCTCTAAATCTGAAAAATACTTGAAATAAAGCTCATTTTATGGTACCCATATTTCTTACAGACACGCGTAAGATACTCAATTTTTCAGATTTGGGTAGCGGGACCGACGATTACATCGCTAAAATGTGATATTTTAGGATATATTTTCCATTGCAAATGTGGTTCTTCAGTGACACTGGCATGGTATAGTATGTGTGGGATATGTGTTATGCTATTATGCGATGTATTTTAGAGTGATTTTACCTTGCATCCAACCAATCGGCCGAAAACTGGAGCTGGCCGATTACCGGCTCCTTTACTCTAGTACTACATACATACAAGAAGACCAATCAAAACCTCATCAGCAGTTTGCATTTACTTTTTTTAACGTTTTAATCACCCATCTTCAAAAAAAGAGTCACTGATTTTGTTACTTTGGACCCAGTTTTTTAAAATAAGTTCTTAGGCGCCATTCAAAATCCGGTTTTTATTCCATTCTTGATTCTTTGAGATGTTTTCTTCATAGAAACACCTTACTTTCATGCTGAAACTTGTCTCATTTTGTTGCAACAGGTGTAAACAAGTCAATGTGGGGGGCTCTCTCAGTGGTGCCTATGCAGGTTCGCAAGTGCTCTTTAATTCAAGGCCACCTTACTTTTCCCTCCCGTTAAATGAAATTTTAAGTGATACAGCTCTTACTACTAGGTCTAGGAACTTTCTATAACATATCTTTTTTGCCACTGTATTCCTCATAAGCTTAGATTTGATGAATAATAAGTGTATTTTTTTTATTTGGAAACCCTAATGAAAGATTAGAGAGTAAGATCCCAGTTATTTACAAAAGGTGCGGCAGAAGACATGACATAGGGGGAATTGACACCTTTGACAAGCCATAACTCAGTAAAAAGAACCTCTGATTCAAATAATCTCTTCACCATTGGATTTCTCTCATTAAGAGCTTTAATTTGATGTATGGTTTGCCCAGAATTGAAGAAGAAAAAAATTTGGTGTAATATAGCTAAAACATGAAATCATGAAATATCGCACTTGGAGTAAAGGAGGGGGTTTTCGGCCACTTATGACAAAATCATATTTTTTGGACTCTTTACTTCCTATATATTATCATTTCCATTTTCTTGTTCAAATCATGAAGCAAATATTATTTTTTAAACAAAAAAAGAAATCCCAGAAAAAAATCACGAATTGCCATGACAATATTCATTTCAGTTATCGACCTAGCGAGGTCTAGCAGTTTACGACTGCATGTACAAAGTCAATAGGAAGTGCGCGCGCGTGCCGTGCGTTTTCGCCCTGATCTATAGCACAAGCGGGCGGAGCAGGTATCCCACGCCGGAGCTCCCCGGTGCTCGCCTGGTCGAAGACTAGCACTGCGGTGATCGGAAATTGGAATCTGAATTACACAGACATATCGTGTGTGCGTTGCGGTGTCCGGCTGCATTGATTTAATACATGCGATGAGATACTTTTGAGCTTGCGACTAACACAAAATCGGGCTCTAAATCTGAAAAATACTTGAAATCAAGCTCATTTTATGGTACCCATATTTCTTACAGACGGATTACATTGCTAAAATGTGATATTTTAGGATACATTTTCCATTGCAAATGTGGTTCTTCAGTGACTCTGGCATGGTATGGTATGTGTGGGATATGTGATATGCTATTATGCGATGTATTTTAAAGGGATTTTACCATGCATCCAACGGATCGGTCGAAAACTGGAGATGGTCGATTACCCCCTCCTTTACTCTATCTAGATCTAGACCTAACGGAATTGATACAAAAAAAAAAATTGACTTGAAATTTGAACCACGCCTTTGGCAAATTTGAAGAACAAGCTAGCAGTAGCACTAGCACTATAATCAGTAGGGGCACTGGTCTGAGAATGAGGATCGTCCGCATAAACACGAGGATATCTTCGTAAACAAGACAAATGGCATCCTAAAAAACTTGGGTTCTCTCCAGCAGGCACGTAGCCAGAGCTTGATGTTTTTTTTTTTGGGGGGGGGGCACATACATGTAATCGATCGAGGTTAAAAAAAGGGGTCTAAAAAAGTTCAACCGATCCTGGAAATTTTTTGGGGGGCACGTGCTCCCCCGTGGCTACGTGCCTGCTCTCCAGGATTCAGGTTCCAGATCTGCTTGCTGGCAATGCAAAAAAACGGATTCAGCGTTAAAAAAATACCCCCTGTTCACCGTCTACTTTTACGGGTTTTCTGTCTTCCCGAAGATTTATCGTATAGGGGTCTATAACGTGAAAATCTCTGTGCTGCGTCTTAAAGTGAGAAATGCATTGTGGAGAATTCATAGCGGAATCCGTTTTTTCGCATCACCTATGGGTAATGAGGATCATCCACGAAAATGCAGACGCTCCTTATTTTTGAGGACGCGATTTTCAAGGATATCCTTTTTTCGGACCACCGCCTCTACTGCAGGCCGAGAGAGTGGCGGGTTGTTTTTTTGCGAGGTGCGACTTCAGTTTTGAGAACGCACATTATGTAACCGTGCGCGTCATCCATTAGCTGTTGAATGAAAATTGAGATTGTGGACAATTGACATATAAGATTTTTTGTAAAAATATCTAGTCAGTTTTCCTCTTGTTTCTTTCGTTTTACAGGACCTTAGTTTAAAGAAAATTTCTTCAAATGTGCCTATGATGTGGTTCATACTGTTTGTCTGATTTCAAGTTGTGAAAATGTTGCGAAACTATTTTTGTGTGTGAACTTGCCTGGTATGATAAATCATTAAAATCTGAAATGGGCGACTTCTGCTAGGAGATCAATTCTAGAAATCAAATTTTTGAATTGCAAATACTCCCATAAACATGAATATTCTGTGAACTATGCATTTTGTCACCAATTTTCAAACTAATTTGAAGAAAGAGATGGTGTAAAAGCTTGAAATTTGCATATCTAAGTGCATTCAGAGGTCATATGTAGGGAGCACTTAAACTTTTGACACTTAACCGCTCATCAATGCCCATCGCCCTCGAGTCTGGTTATCCAAGTGCCTCAAAAACTTAATGATCCCGACATTTGCCTTTCCTTCTTTTGTAGAAACGTTTGACGATGCGGTGGAGGAGAGGGTGATCAACGAGGAGTATAAAATCTGGAAGAAGAACACGCCGTTCCTTTATGACCTCGTCATGACCCATGCCCTGGAATGGCCAAGTTTGACCTCTCAGTGGCTCCCAGATGTCACAAAGTTAGTCGCTTTTTATTTCATTAACTTGAACTGTCTTTTGGAAAAGATACATGTACCTGTGTTCTTCATGCAGCCTATCATTTGGTTTTGAAGCTCTTTTTTTGTCCCATTTAAGATTATTGGGTTAAGAGTAAGGCACTTGAATGTCATACAGAAAATAGGTTGGCAAGTCCAAGTTGTAAGTAGAATATGTCGTAAGGAAAATTGTACTTTCACTGTTATTCATGTACATTATTGTTTGATACTTGACCAAATACCTTTCACTTGCCTGGTGTTATGTGAGGAAGTATAGATACATTTATTAAATGGATGTCGTTTTATTCACATAGGAAACAATAAAATTGGTTTACAACTGAAGTTGATTGAATTAAATGTTAAAGTCTTGTTTGTTTGTTGTTGTTTTTTCAGACCTGAAGGTAAAGACTATTCCATCCATCGCCTGGTGCTTGGTACACACACGTAAGTATTTTCTCCCTTGGTTTTGCATATGGCATGGTCACAAATTTTGCTAAGTGGTAGGGTTCACTGGGATGTCAAAATCTTGACAAATTCCCAGGCCCCTTCAAAGGTTCATAGTTAAAAACATTTGAATGTGCTCATCTAATATTTAATTCATTCAATTAAACTTCAAATGTTATCGTCCAATTATTGGAAATTTGTTTCGTTTGCATGTCAATACAAAATTACAGATTATAAACATCAACAAGATACAAATGGACACAGAATAGTACATTTGACTTGAACATAGATAGATAACACAAAATATTGCAGTAGTGATGGTTATATTAATCATTTTGATCTCTCACGTTTACAGAAAGTTTGATCTCTCTGATGTCTTTCTACCTGTACATACATGTACATGTGACTACAAACCTTTTATTTATAGTTGCATGTGTCATCTAACTCTTTTTCTAAAAATCTTTATATTTCTGTTTGGAGCCAGAAAGGTATTAACTCATATACTTTAACACAGAGGGCATTAATTCTGTATTGAAGTATATGAGTTAATGCCCTTCTGGCTCTCAACAGACCATTGCTCCTTTGTACCAAGGAGAGAATAGTTATACCATGCATCACAATTTATAGGAATTTGATTAATTGATATAAACAGTTCTTGTTTTCCTGACCCTTTCCTGAGCAGATCTGATGAGCAGAACCACCTAGTCATAGCCAGCGTCCAGCTTCCAAACGACGATGCTAGCTTTGATGCAGCACACTACGACAGCGAGAAGGGAGGTGAGTGCTTTAATACCTCAACTCTTTGCCCGCTTTAGTTAACGATGGGAGCAAACGCTGGAACGCCACGGTCGACCTTTGTCACATCATGCTACATGTAATGGGCATTATATTTTAAGCAATGCGGAAGTCTGGGTTTCAGTTCAAAAATTAAAGATTTCAGTCCCATTCGGACAGGAGTCAGGAACTTGCCTTAAAGTGCCTCAGAAGAATTTAAACAGTTTTGTATTTTAGAAATTCGGGATCATTGAGCATAGCTGTGCCATTGTTGCATCGAGCTGTGCACTCGCCCTGCCCTTCAATAACATTTACTCTTGCCACTCATTTATAATGAAGTTTTGCCAGAGCGGTTTCTTTTTCAGATACTCGACCACGTACTGTATCGTTAGGTAGTTATTATACTCTTTCATAGTTTTAATGGTACACACAAAAATAAAGTAAAGGATTTAATTCCCTTTCAGCAACAAATTATAACAATCTTTGGTTGCTTTGACATCTTTAATAATAATAATAATATAATAATCTGGATTTATATAGCGCTTAATACTGAATTCCGTCTCTAAGTGCTTTACAGATATTATTACCCGGTCATCAGATTCATTCATTCACATTTGCACCATCTTCACTCCCTGGGAAGTATTCCTACCTTATTGTCACCGTGAGGGCATAGGCAATTACTAACACAAATGCTTTCGCCATCCTACCGGGTCCCTATTGGGTATTGAGTGGCAAATGTTATTATTATCATTATTATTTATTCGGCAAAAACAAAGACATTCGTTGAATACAAAACAGGAGTACATTTGGAAAAGAGTCACGTGGATGCCAGGAAAAGAAAAATATTAACTAAATAACTATTGATGCCTTGCTAAAGGACATGTTACATGTATCATCAGCTGCTTTTTTTTTTTTGTCGGTTGAGGCATCAGTAATTTTATAAAAGTTCAGATTGAGGAGTCAAAGAAGTGTTGATAATGTAACACTGTGTCGTCCTGTTCTGTCTCGTAGAGTTTGGAGGGTTTGGCTCGGTGAGCGGTAAGATCGAGATCGAGATCAAAATCAACCACGAAGGAGAAGTGAACAGAGCACGCTACATGCCACAGAATCAGACCATCATAGCAACCAAGACCCCCAGCAGTGATGTCCTGGTCTTCGATTACACAAAGCACCCTTCCAAACCAGGTAGGAACTTAGGAAGGGGTGAAAATAATATCAAATGAGTATGATAACCAGTACGTTACACATGTGTGCGGGCTCAACATTATTTTCTTTTTTTGTTGTTAATCTCTATTGATTGTATATCATGTAGACTGTATAAAGTTTACAGTCAGGACCCTTTAATAGATCAAATAACACCAAAATCCTGGTCAACTTGAAGGAAATAAATTATTAAAAAGGCTCAACTTTAAAGCTTACATCAAGTTATGGTAGTAAAAAAGGACATAACATGTAGTATTTACCCCTTTTATTTGTTTTCTACTTTAAAATTTTGTATGCAGAAAAAAAAAGTTTTACCCTGTAAAAAGTATAAACAAGCAGAGCGTCTGAAAGTATAATTTGTACTACCTTCCCTATCTCTATTTCCAGATCTGAACGGTCAATGTAGACCGGACCTAAGACTTCGCGGTCACTCGAAGGAGGGTTATGGACTCTCCTGGAACCCTAATCTTCATGGCCATCTACTCAGTGCCTCAGATGATCACGTAAGACCTCTCAGTCCCAACTATAGTTTAAAATGTTGGAATCTTCTTTCATCCCATATCTATCCTCTCAGTCCCATCTATAGCTTAAGATTTTATATTCTTTTACAAATAAGTATTGATAGATTCCTGATTCTAAAAGTCCATTTATTAAAAATAATGTTTTTTTCAACTGGATGATTAGCTATTACAATGTATTAGTATGTTAGTGTAAAAGCCTTCTTTGATGATCCTCAAATTTGGAATCTTCAAAACATACAAAAATGAATGTTTAATTCAATTTTGTATGTTGAATCTTGTAATCTGTTATATTATTATTCAGACTGTCTGTTTCAGGAAAACAATGACATGAACCGTGTGGTGTAATTGCCAGTTAAAAGTCATGATTATCAACATTTGGTCTGCAGTTAAACCATTTCACTAACATCAAATCGGAATAATCATCAGGAACTATTATTATTATTATTATTTATTATTTATATACAGCGCTTTTCCCAGAGTGGCCCAAAGCACTTACAACAAGAAGAATCCTACACTAGATGAAAATGAAAACTTATAGAATCCTAAAAATCTGGATTACAAAAAAAGAACTATTCATGGGCTAAATTGAAAATTCTGTTTCATTACCATACAGACCATCTGCCTGTGGGACATCAATGATAAGCCCAAAGAGAACCGTGTGGTGGATGCCAAGACGATCTTCACGGGTCATTCCGCAGTGGTGGAGGACGTCTCGTGGCATCTCCTCCATGAGAGTCTCTTTGGATCAGTGGCTGATGACCAGAAACTCATGATGTAAGTACTGAGAAAAAATGTAAGAGGCCTTACAAAAACTTAAAGAGATGGTTGAGTGAGTTATGGTAAAGAAAGAACAAAAAGTGTGAGCTTTTGTGATATAATATTATGTCAGTTTGGATGAAAACCAGTCAATAGTAGAAACAAATGTCTTTTTAAATGTCCCCATCTTTGAATTGTGACAAGAAAAGCTGAAAAGTTTGGTACAAAAATTTGTGTGTAGTCTCATATACACATTTCTGTATATAGTGCATATGATAGTCTGCAATATTGAGTAGATTTTGTGATGATTCCAAAACCTCAGACTTTACACAAATTTATATGTGCCACATATTAACATTTTCCAGTTGCTTCTAAACAGTTTCATTCACAATGCAATGACATGACCAAAACTCAAATTTATTTTCAACATTTTATTTCCTTTTCTCCCTTTTATTTGACAGCTGGGATACGAGAGTAAGCAACCTTGCCAAAGCGAGTCATTCTGTGGACGCTCACACTGCAGAGGTAAGTCACATGACCAAAAGCTTGTTCACATTTGACTTTTTTAATCGCAATATTTCTGGGTGACTCTGTGCAATGTGCACTGTACTGCAGATATCTTTCTTCCACACATTTCATCAAAGAATAACTCTTATTATTGGTCCAATTATTTCAAATTTTCAACATTTTGTTTCTCTTATTTTAGAAATGAAATTATTACAAAGGTTGGAGAGGACTTAAAGTCGTCGGTCACCGGGTTCTAACTGACGAACATACTTGTGCTTTCGTAGCAGTCAGGTAGAAATTAACCATCACATATTAAGTTTTTTTTTTTAAAGAGCATAAAAGTTCTAGCATGTATGATATGAAATTCAATCACAACTATTGTTGTTTGTTAAATCATTACTATCTGTTTTTATTTCAATATTTTTTCACAAACTTTTCTACTTTTTGTTCTGCAGGTGAATTGCTTGTCTTTCAATCCATACAGCGAGTTCATCCTTGCTACTGGATCAGCTGATAAAGTAAGTTTTATCATCATTTCAATTGTCTTAAATTTGCATTATTGACATGTTATGTATCCCGTCTTTTAAAAGAACTGCATAGATATGTAAGTGATGGTTGTTTGGCAAGAACAGCAAAAAAACTTTTTTTTTCCATTCTTGGCTTCAGACTTAAGGTAAACATGGCCGTCAATTTTTGTTTACTTTGGTCCTTCAAAGTTTTGATTTTAGTTGAAATATGAGCCTTGAGCCTTGAATATACAAAGTACAAAAATACAAATTAATTTGCTTTTCTTCTTCGTTCATCTTCTCTTTAGACTGTTGCATTGTGGGATCTGCGTAATCTGAAGCTCAAGCTGCACTCGTTTGAGTCGCACAAGGACGAGATCTTCCAAGTACAGTGGTCTCCGCATAACGAGACCATCCTTGCTTCCAGTGGAACCGACAGAAGACTCAATGTATGGGACTTAAGGTAGGGCGTCGCATTCCTATTGATTCTATTCTAGGCAACTTAGTTGCTGTAGTTAAGACAGTGAAACTGGTCTATAAAGACCGATCAGGGGAGACAAGAAAAGTGGTCTTTATAGGCAGGTGGTCTTTACGTACAGGTTCCTTAAGTTCATGTTTCAATGACAAACAATTTTTTAAGGAAACCAAAACATGTAGTCTTTATAGAGAGGTGGTCTTTCTATACAGGTGGTCACCAAAGCAGGATTTATTTAGGTGTCGTAGTCGAGTGGTTTAAGCACTTGATTTGAAATGCGAAGGTCGTGGGTTAGATCCCTGATACGGCACTAATGTCCTTTGGCAAGACGTTAATCTACATTTGCTACTCAGTACTCAAGACAGAAATGGGGACCCGGTAGGATGACAAAAGCATTTGTGTTAGTAATTGCCTATGCTCTCACTGTGACCATATTGTAGGAATACTCCCCAGTGAGTGGAGATGGTGCACATTCTTGCATGAAGGAATCCGATGACTAGGGAATAATATCTGCAAAGCGCTTAGAGACGGTATTCTGTATTAAGCACTAAATAAATCTAGATTATTATTTTTATGCCTCCGCCACCGAAGGTGGTGCCGGAGGCATCATGTTTTCGGGTTGTCCGTCCGTACGTCCGTACGTCCGTCCGTACGTCCGTCCGTCCGTACGTCCGTCCGTCCGTCCCGTTTGACCGTTATCACAATATCTCAAGAACCATTTAAGATTTAAACTTAAGACTCGGGAATAGTATTTATCACCATAGGAAGACGATCTGATTAGATTTTGGAGTACGTAGGTCAAAGGTCACAGGTCACAGAGGTCAACTTATGAAATTCCTTGTATTGAGTTTGTTAGCGCGATATCTCAAGAACCATTTGAGATTTAAACTTAAAACTTAAGGATAGTATGTATCACCATAGGAAGACGATCTGATTAGATTTTGGAGCACGTATGTCAAAGGTCAAGGGTCACAGAGGTCAACTTATGAAATTCCATTCATTGAGATTGTTATCATGATATCTCAAGAACCACTGGAGATTTAAACTTCAAACTTAGTGATAGTGTGTATCACTATAGGAAAACAATCTGATTACATTTTGGAGCACGTAGGTCAAAGGTCAAAGGTCACAGGGCTCATTATGTATGCAAAAACAGCTTGTGATCGCGTTATCTGAACAACCGATTGATGGATTCCTGCCAAACTTTGGTCATGTATGTATCTTGCAGAGCTGATGAACTGATTAGATTTTGGGGTCACGAGGTCAAAGGTCAAAGGTCACAGGGCTCATTATGTATGCAAAAACAGCTTGTGATCGCGTTATCTGAAGAACCGATTGATGGATTCCTGCCAAACTTTGGTCATGTATGTATCTTGCAAAGCCAATGAACTGATTAGATTTTGGGGTCACGAGGTCAAAGGTCACAGCGCACATTATGTATGCAAAAACAGCTTGTGATCGCGTTATCTGAACAACCGATTGATGGATTCCTGCCAAACTTTGGTCATGTATGTTACTTGCAGAGCTGATGAACTGATTAGATTTTGGGGTCATGAGGTAAAGGTCAAAGGTCACAGGGCTCATTATGTATGCAAAAACAGCTTGTGATCGCGTTATCTGAAGAACCGATTGATGGATTCCTGCCAAACTTTGGTCATGTATGTATCTTGCAAAGCCAATGAACTGATTAGATTTTGGGGTCACGAGGTCAAAGGTCACAGCGCACATTATGTATGCAAAAACAGCTTGTGATCGCGTTATCTGAACAACCGATTGATGGATTCCTGCCAAACTTTGGTCATGTATGTTACTTGCAGAGCTGATGAACTGATTAGATTTTGGGGTCATGAGGTAAAGGTCAAGGTCATGCGGCTCATTATGTATGCAAAAATAGCTTGTGATCGTATTATCATTAGAACAGATTGATGGATTCCTGCCAAACTTAGATCATTTATGTATCTTACAGAGCCAATGAATGGTTCATAAGATCAAAGGTCATGGGCTCATTATGTATGCAAAAATAGCTTGTGGACGCATTCTCATTAGAACTGACAGATGGATTACTATTTAACTCAGGAAATCTTGCAGAGCCAATGAACTGAGTAGATTTTAGGGTCATGAGGTCAAAGATCAAAGGGTCATATATGTTTATGAGAAATTGCTTGTAATCACGATATTCTGAGAACATGTTAATGGATTACAATTGAACTTGAATTTGAAAAATTTCTTCCGTTTCGGTTTGTAAAATTGCTCTATGACGGAGGCATCATTTTCGACTGCGCGCAGTCGAATTCCATCTAGTTATTATTCTACTTCTGCTGCTGTTACTGTCGTTACTACTTCTATCATGATTATTTTCATTACAGTAAAATTGGTGAGGAGCAGTCGCCGGAGGATGCTGAAGATGGACCTCCAGAGCTGCTCTTCATCCATGGCGGACACACAGCCAAGATCTCAGACTTCTCCTGGAATCCCAACGAACCTTGGGTCATCTGCTCTGTCTCAGAAGACAACATCATGCAAGTCTGGCAGATGGTAAGGCTATGTGATGCAGGTGGTTTTATTCTTTTTTTATGCCTCTGTTACGAAGTAGCCGGAGGCATTATGTTTTCTGGTTGTCCGTCCGTCCGTCCGTACGTCCCGTTCTCGTGATCGCGTTATCTGAAGAACCGATCGATGGATTCCTGCCAAACTTTGGTCATGTATGTATCTTGCAGAGCCGATGAACTGATTAGATTTTGGGGTCATGAGGTCAAAGGTCAAAGGTCACAGGGCTCATTATGTATGCAAAAACAGCTCGTGATCGCGTTATCCAAAGAACTGATTGATGGATTCCTGCCAAACTTTGGTCATGTATGTATCTTGCAGAGCCGATGAACTGATTAGATTTTGGGGTCACGAGGTCAAAGGTCAAAGGTCACAGGGCTCATTATGTATGCCAAAACAGCTCGTGATTGCGTTATCCGAAGAACAGATTGATGGATTCCTGCCAAACTTTGGTCATGTATGTATCTTGCAGAGCCGATGAACTGAATAGATTTTGGGGTCATGAGGTCAAGGTCAAAGGTCATGTGGCTCATTATGTATGCAAAAATAGCTTGTGATCGCATTATCATTAGAACAGATTGATGGATTCCTGCCAAACTACGGTCATGTATGTTACTTGCGAAGCCGATGAACTGAGTAGATTCTTTGGTCATGAGGTCAAAGGTCAAAGGTCATGGGCTCATTATGTATGCAAAAATAGCTTGTGAACACATTCTCATTAGAACTGACAGATGGATTACTATTTAACTCGGGACATCTTGCAGAGCCAATGAACTGAGTAGATGTTAGGGTCATGAGGTCAAAGATCAAAGAGTCATATATGTATATGAGAAATTGCTTGTAATCACAATATTCTGAGAACCTGTTAATGGATTACAATTGAACTTGAATTTGAAAAATTTCTTCTGTTTTGGTTTGTAAATTGCTCTATGACGGAGGCATCATTTCGACTGCGCGCAGCCGAAGTTCCATCTAGTTTTCCGTCAAAGGAAATCTGAGATGCATGGCCCTACGTGTTATCAGCGTCTGATATGGTGTAATATTGAAACCCTAAAAAAAATTGCGCTTCAAAATGACTTAAAACCGTCAGTCCTCTGGCTGCTTACTAACAAGCATTTATGCTTTTTTAGTAGTCAGGTAAACTAACAACCACAACCACTAACAAATAATTGTTTACAAATTTTGAATCATGTCTTTCTTTGAATTACAATTCGGAAGAACATCATTTTAGGAATGTCCCCCGTAAAAGGATTGCTCTACAAATATTCTGCTATTCAATATATGAAGAGGATAAATAGCAGATCAGTTTGGACCAAAATTTCATGCCACATATGTGTGTGTAGCCCCAAATACCCACTTCTGTGTGCAGTGCATGCGATTTTCAGCACGATTGAGCCTATATCCTATCGTTTTAATTTTTCTAAAACCTCACTGTATACCCAAATTCCTATGTACTACATCACTCACCGTTCTCAATAGCTAAGAGACAGTTTCTTTCTTCATGTAAATACATGACCAGGGCCCCCGTCTTAGCGATTGATCCAAATCAGTCGCAAGTCTGCAGTCTCCTATCTTTTATGTATATAGTTGTGATTGATATCAATCACATAAGTTGCGATTGATATCAACTCGTTGTAAGATGGGGCCCAGTATGTAACTTTATCTTTAAAAGATTTTGTGATTTAACTATCTTTTTTTTCTGTTTTTTCCACCAGGCTGAGAACATCTACAATGACGAAGATCCCGACACATCAGCGGCTGATTTAGAATGCCAACAACAGACTGTATCATAAAAGTTCCACCCTCAAGAAACAGAAATGAAAAGAATGAAGAAAAAAAGACGGAACAAAACACTCCTACTTCAACTGTCATATGCCTTCTCGTTGACAGTGTTATTCCTTCCTCATTTCTTCCTCTTTCTCGTGCAGTAGTACATTATAAACCTCCTTGGTACCCAGAATATTCCTTGTTTTGAAATCTCTCTATGTCAGGACCCAAAATAGTGATAGTATTGACTTACAAAATTGTAAGTATCCTTGGCTAACTATCGCTAAAATAACAGCTCTTAAAATTGCTGTCTCTTGGTCATCTGAAACAATTTCCGTTGCACATAAAATATTGGCCATACATTACTTAGATGCACTGTCGATATTTGCTCGCATGGAGAAATATTAGATAGCTGCCTGGCTAGCAAGCAGCTATCTGTAAGCAAAATCTGTTTACAGTGACACTATTTTCAATAAGGAGGAAACACCCTAATGTTTAAACACTCCTTTCTTTTGCTGCTACAGTATGTTAAACTGTAACAAGTTGGTGTCGATGGGTTTAGGTGCTAAAGCATGACAGCGGTGTTGAGCTTTTATAGCTTATTTCTTACCTCGATATTAAGGATCACACTTATTCCAAAGATGACTGGTAGGAGGAGTGGAGAACGGTTTTTGTAAATTTTGTGAATAGTTCATCGTACGATGAAGAATTGCTTTTGTAGAAATATAATGAGCACATGTAAGGGAAGAGGTGCTGAAATTATGTGATAACCCCTCTGTCATCCTTCCTGTGTACGGTGTACTACCTTATACTGTAGATGGTGGTGGTGGTGGACACTGGAGTGGGATGTTACTGTAAAGTCAGAATCTTTCAAGATGTAATAGTTGTGCAAATCGTTAAAGATGGCCACTCTCGCGGCAAGAAACTAGTGAAATGGCGTGGTCTAATTATATGTTAAGCATTTCGCGGCATGAAATCTTCGCAAATATAAATCACTGGCAAAGTTCACGAACATTGCATGCACACAAAAGTTTCTGGTTTTACAGTACATGTATTAGAGTGTAATGCCGTAAGTTTCAATCCAAACATAATTTTCCTCTCTATTTATGTACAGCATATACAATCAAAAGTAGCATTTAATGCTAGTAATGAAATACAATGCTGTCATTGAGTTCAGCAATGAACAGGCAGAGCCATGAACATGAATGATTAATTTCAGTGTTACAATGATTTCCATGTAATTTTACTCTCAAAGACTTAGTGATATGTAACATTTTTTTCTACTATGTGAATTTTGTTCCGCCATGTCCATTTTTCTGTCATGTATGATAATGGTGTCAATAAAAGGACCTTTAGTATTTGTACAGGTATGCTTATTTTGACATCACTCTTCTTATATTTATAAATGAAGCATTTTTTTCTTTTTGGAAGAGCAGATACCATTGAGGGTGTGGTTGTGTGTAGAGGGGAGGGGTTGTGCCCTTGTCACGTGAAATCTGAGTATAATGTTAAAACATCAGAGATAGAGAGAGAGAGAGAGAGAGAGAAGGGTGGCGAGGGAGAGAGAGAGAGGGGGGAGGGGGCAAGGGGATGAAGAGAATGAGGGGGTGGGGATTGCATACATACCAACTGTTCAGATTAAAGAGGAACATTCCTCTTTTTGGGAGAAGATAATTATCATTTTAATGCAGGTGTTCCTCTTCCTTTACAAATTTGTCTGTAGTATTGAATAGGAGAGTTAGGATTTTTTTTGAAAATAGCATAATTTGTACAGATTTCTGATTTTCAAATGGGATTGGAGATAAGAGATAACTGGAAGGGGGAGGGAAATAATTCACCTGGTCACTATTTTCTTTCAATTTATGCATGTTTCTATTACTGTTTAATTTTCACCTGCTATGCATAATCGAAAATCTTTAGATAAAATCCACTATGTATATATTAGCTGCTGCTCAAAATCATGTGTATGGCAAGCCTCCGATGAGCTGCTGAGTTGTCAGATAATTTTTTTTCGTTCAAAGAAGTATGCATAAATTAGGAAACTTGTCTATTAGAGAGAGAGAGAGAGAGAGGGGGGTAGAGAGAAGGGGGGGGGGGGGAGGGGGGGGGGGGGAGGGGGGGGGTAGCTCGGTGGAGGAAGAAAGGAAGATGTTGGGAATGGAAAGAAAGAGGAAAGAGAGAGAGAGAATGAGAGGGCATGTATATACACATGTACTTTCGTAATTACATGTATATTACCCTACCACCCATACCCACGCCAGAAGCGGACACTTCTTTTTTTTTTTGGTCTCGAAATTTGAAAATTGGACATTTTTTTTCGTTGGGGGGGGGGGGGGTAAGGTCACTTTACGTTTGCCGTGGGCATAATTTTTTTTTTTTTTTTTTTTTTTTTTTTATTTAAACAAAAAACAAAAACAAAAACAAAAAAAACAAAGGGGGGGGGGTTTAGTTTTTTTTTTTTTTTTTTTTTTTTTTTTTTTTTTTTTTTTTTTTTGGGGGGGGGGGGGGTTACACACATAAAAATACCAAAGGGGGGGTTTGAACCCCAACCCCCCCCCCCCCTGCGTACGCCCCTGCCACTGATGATGATGCCGTGATGATGATTACTATTATACAAAATGAGGATGCATCATGATTATGACAATATAATGTACTACACAAGTACCTGTACATGAGATTGCAGATATCGAGATATAGGTGTACATATATTATGTATGTAGGCCATTTATCTCTTTTTATTTGACAATTCTAATGGGTTTCTGTGGGCGACGAAGTCATGGTGCGATAGATATGGATGATAATCCCCTCTTGAGATTTGATATTCACATCAGATAGGATAATATCTCCTCGATATAGCATAAATAATAAGATTTAATCGATGAGAGAAAGAAAACAAAATATGAAATTAGAATATATTTCATTTATAGACTGTGCCAAGGCAACATTGATTTTAAAAATAAATTATTAAAGAGGTGCTTACTACGTTCCTTCAACAACCATTTCTGACTATTAATTCTCTGTATGCTGAATGGTTACAATCAGGTGCGAACGCAGACGGGGGGGGGGGGGGGGGGGGGGGGGGGGGGGTTAACCCCCCTCAAATATTTTTAATTGTAGAAAAAAAATTGCTCTTACCCCCCCCCCCCCCCCCCCCCCCCAGATTATTCAGCGGCTGGCTGAGTCGTTGCGAAATTTTTCCTCAAAAACTGGGCCAAATTAAAAAAAAAAAATATGCTCTTATCAAGCTTTATCTCGTCTGTCCTTTTCGTGTGCAATGTTATTTTCTACTATGTATTATACTCAGGGGCGGATAAAGGGGGGGGGGAGGCGGGGGCCCAGGTTTTCTCCCCTGGCCAAATGATAGGTTGAAAAAGATGGTAACGTTAATTTTACCTTTAACCCCCAAAAAAGAAGATGCCCCCCCCCCCCCCTCTGGCAAAAAAAAAAAAAAGACAAAGTGATTTTTGTTGGCTAGAAGAGGGAGGGGGGGGTGTTGTATAAACAAAAATAGAGTTCAACCCCCCCCCCCCCCCCCCCCCGCTTATTCGGCTGGCAGGCTGAGCCGCCGCTGAGTATTTTCTTCAGAAAAAAAAATTGTGCTCACTACCCCATGCCTCCCATCATCATAATTATCGTTATTATCTCATTACTTCTACTTCTTGTTTTATTATTGTTGTTGTTATGAATCGGATATTATCAAGGATAGTTTTCGGGTGGTGGGCTGGTCCTTTACCAGAGTGAGGTGTGAGCAACCTCTACCTCCCATGGCTCGATCATCTTCCTTCTTTTCTACTTCTATTCTTCTTCAACATCCAGTTGTCTTGTATCATCACCATGCAGCGGATAGGTTAAAGGCGCCCTAGTCAAGGTCGAGACTTCATCGACACCACAGCGGGGGTACACGCAACATACATATCTGCAGTTGCCATGGTGGTGGCGAAGGCGTAATCCCATATAACTTAGTATGGAAGGCAACTGGTCCAAATATTGAACCTCTATTTTTTTCTTTAATTTTGGGTTTCCACTACTCAAAGCACAATACTACCCAGCAACTCATACATTGAGGGGCGGTGGAGCAACTTTCAACAGAAAAGGACACTTCTGGAAATAAAAGGCACCTACAAAGGGAAATCTCAAAGCGAAAATGCACAATTTTGTAGACATTTTTATACACCATAAAAGATATTTCTTAAGCATCATTCTTTGCAGTTGGGTGTGATGGTCTGACAATTCATTTGCGAGCGAGCTAGAAAAAATAGTTTTTTTTTGAGGTTGCAGTGCAAAAAATTGCATCTTGTAAAGAGGAATCAAAAGACCTTTGATAAGTAACATAATTATATCATCCATAAATGCGAGCGAGCTGAGCGATCGAACTTCAGGGAAATTGCTCTTAGTCGCTTGAAATTAGGGGAGCGTTTAATGACGAGAGGAAAATGGGACACTAGTCTTGTCGAAAGGGATAAGACATACGTTTATTAGAATATAGCTGAAAGGGGGACATTTATAAGAAGGGGAAGAGGCTCTTTGTTTACTAATTGGGGGACCGCGCTTATCACTAGGAAAAGGGGCACTTATTAGAGAAGAAAAAGGGCACATGAAAAATTATAAGGTGCGCTTATCCGAGTTAAAAAGGGGAAGGGGCACTTCTTACAAAGGAAAAGGGGCGCGTCTCAGATTTGAATAGGGCGATTATCAGAGGTGAAGGGGGCACATATCAAAAGTGAAAAGGAGCACTTCTCTTACCTAAAAGGAGCACCTACTAGAGATTAAATAGGGCATTTATCATAATGGAAAATGGACAATTCTTGCGAAGGAAAAGGGGCGCGTGTCAATATAAAGGGGCACTTATCAGAGGTGACAAGGGAAAGGGGCACTTGCCAAAGTAAAAGGGGTACCTTTCCTATGTAAAAGGGGACACTTCTTACGAAGTTTAAGGGGCACTTTTCCTATGTAAAAAGGAGCACTTTTGAGGGACTTGAAAAAGTGGGGGCACTGTGCTTCTGTCCTCCTCGGAGGGCCTCTCTCTGCATATATACAACTCATACATGTATGTATTATGTTAGGCTTACAGTAGCTTCGAATTTTTTCTTATACATGTATAGCATCTAGCAGCACTTAGATCGAGATAGAAATCAGTGCTGGCCCTGCTGGGATAAGCAATATTCTAAAGATGGGTTCCGATGGGAATGTATATAGATTTTAAAAGAAAAGCTTGAAACCTTTAATAAATTCAAGTACCTTTAGGGTCAACCATCACAGAGGTTGCTAATTCTGCTCAAGAAGTCAAAATCAGAATTGCAGTTGCCGCCACACTTTCCCTTGCAAGTCTGAATCCAGTTTGGAATGACATGTAGAATTAGCTAGGTGAGATGACTGAATCTGATTCAGTCTTTCTATATGGCTGTGAAATATGGACACTAAATACATAGATGGAATAGCGAATGAATGCTTTTGAAGTTTTTAGATTAAATGTCTGAGAAGGCTTCGCATATCCACTTCATTTCACTTACATGTACGTCCAACATTAATTATTATCATTAATCTAAATTTGCCACTCTTCACCCAAGCTTCACCCACTTCCCACGCGGCAGACGCGAGAATAATTTAACGATTCGATATTTTAATATGCATGTTTTACCAATAAAATAACATATTTAAAAGGAAACAATAAACGCGTAGAGTTTCAATACACTACTGAAATAAGAACGCTATTTTTTTTCTTCTTCAAATACATGCTTGTAATTCAAATCCCTTGCCTATGTACATGTACTTGCAAGTTGCAAGGGAGAAATTCGAAAAGTGATCGTTGTCATAACAACGGAATAGATATCGTTGTCACGAGGGATTTGGGTGGGATACTATCTTAATGGATAGCGCTGCGTTGAACCATTATGCTTATTCATATGCGACTAATCTCCCTACATTCTGATAGCAAGGGCTGCGGAACCGGAGAAGGGATTTGGGGAGTGGCGGATCTAGGGGGTGGCCAAGGGACACGGGTCCCCGCCCCTGACCCCCAAAGAGGGTAAAACACCTATTTAAAAAAAAAAAAAATAGAAGGTGGGCCCCCACCCGTGCCCTGACAAGGGGGGAGGGGGGAGTGTTGAACCTACGTTGAGCAAAACAAAAATTAGTGCTCATTACCACCCCCCCCCCCCCGCTTATTCGCCGCTAAATATTTCCTCACGAATTGGACACCCCTTGTGCCTCCGCCCTCGCTGCCTGTTATAAGTAAATGCATAATCATTCAGCGGCATTGCAATGAAGCAATAATCATGCTCATCATCACACCGTTGCCAAGCTTGTGCTTTCCTAAAAACAAAACAAATAAATAAAAAATAAAAAATGGGTATAAAGGTTGGCCAAACAT